ATCTCTTCTCAAATATCAGCAGTTCTGCCTGATCTCCCCCAGCCATGATGTCCTTGGCCTTCTAGAAGAATCAGCTCTACAGCAGCAGTTCCTCTAGAAGCGTAAGATGCTCTACTGGAAAGAGAATTTCTCTGACCACGGCAGCTGCACTTGCTGCTGCCAAGGCTGCTAATCAGGTTTATGAACGCCAGCCCACCCAGAGCCGGCACGGTGTTATCACACACCGGAAACAAGTCAGCACTGGGCTCACTCCCGGATTACGTGCTGTTTTATTTACTGCCAGACACTATGTTTGCCAGACAGAGATTTTGTAGGATGTGTTTGCGCTTTTCTTTAATTTTTTTTTTATAATATATTTTATTGATTTTTTACAGAGAGGAAGGGAGAGAGAGAGAGAGCTAGAAACGTCTATGAGAGAGAAACATCAACCAGCTGCCTCCTGCACACCTCCTACTGGGGATGTGCCCGCAACCAATGTACATGCTCTTGGCCGGAATCAAACCCGGGACCTTTCAGTCCACAGATGGACGCTCTACGGCTGAGCCAAACCGGTTTCGGCTGTTTGCATTTTTCAAGATGGCTAATGCAATGCTGCTGTTAACCTCTACAACTAAGTGATTTCTTGGTGACCCTATTTAGAAATCATGGAATAGGGAACTGACAATTCAGTCACCTACTCGAATATTCCAGGTGGTGATAAACACCACTCTTTGGTTGACCTCTGACCTTGGGAACTCCATCTACCTACCCAATTAATACCTTAAGCCTTAGCAGCAACATCTCTCTTCATTCTTTAACGTTTGTTGAGCATTTACTATGTGCCGAGCACTACTATGGATGAATGGTTTATATTCTACATTTAGAGAAGGCCAGGGTTATCTTAAATGTATTATATACTGTTGTTAAAGATCAACAGGGCTAAAGTCTAGGATAAAGAAAGAACATTATAATTTTCTATTCCTATATAAACATAAATGTATAAATACATGAATAAGCAATGATAAAGTTTTAGGAGGAGGTATGGCAAGTGGATAATAGAGTAGGTACTTTAAGGGAAAGTACAGGAATTTTGTTTGGGATGGAGGTTAAAGGGGACTCTTGCCTTATCTGTAATGTTTAAACTTTGTTTAAATAAGGTGAATGTATTTGTCTACAACTGGTGTAACTAAAAATAAAAATTCCAACCAAAAGTCATTTTGAAGTATAAATACTTGTTATTCTTTGAATAAGGCACACTATAAATGTTGACTATGTCTGGGTTCTTACCTTGAAATACACATTTAAAGACCTATGGGATTAAATTGGTTATTTCTAGTCACTAGTAGGTTTACTGAATGGCACGACAAGGCACTTAAACTGGGCCCATGTTTACATTTCTGTGTGCCTCAGTTTCCTTATCTGTGAAACAAGCACAAAGTCCAGGTACCGTAGCACTCACTCTATAAAGCCTCTTTGAAATATGACCCCTAAGTAACCTCTCAGCTCTGTATTCTCAGCTCCCATCCTCCCATCCTCACCAAGCTCTAGCCCTGATATGCTCACCATTCTCAAAACCCAAACCCTGTTTTTTTGACTCATCCAGTTCTTTCTGTCTAGAAGGCCTTCTCCCTCTCTTCCCCCAAGCCAGCTTTTACTTACATTCAAAGTCCACCTCTATGATACTTCATATATGTAACCTCAATTCCTCTGCCCAGGTACAATACTTGGGCATACACCTATTGGAGAAGGTCTTCTAGATCTTTCTAAAACAGATATGCAACCTACCTCTGGCAGTCTCTGCTGTATCCCAGCACCAGGACAACACATGGGTTGAGCATCGACCCATGAACCAGGAGGTCACATTTTGATTCCCAGTCAGAGCATGTGCCCAGGTTGCAGGCTACATCCCCAGTAGGGATTGTACAGAAGGCAGCCAATCTATGTTTCTCTGTCATGTTTCTCTCCCTTCCCCTCTCTCTCTCTCTCTCTCTAATCAATAAAATCATTAAAAAATTTTAGGTATGCAATGAATATTATTCATATATTTTTTAAATGTGCTAAGTTGTAAGTACCCTGAGAGAATCCTAATTCCCCTAGCACTGAACACAGAGCCCAGCAGATATTTGCTGACTGATGCTTTTAGTAAATGCCGGGAACTATGCTCTTTGTGCTCTCAGGAGAGAAAACATTCACAGGTACTTCTTTAGCTGAGATGAGTCATCCCCAATGCACAATAGTGCTTTGAAAAAGCAGATAGCATGTTTAATTTATTTCCTGGGAAGTACAAAAAGAGGAGCAGTTTGCTGTGATTTAGATACATGAGATACTGATATATACAATGTTAACCAACCTGCCAGGAACTGCTTGGCACTGTAACATACATGAGGATTACCAAGAAGTCAACGGCACTTTCACAATCATGTGAGAAGCTGCAAGGTGGTAATGATAACGGTCAGTAAATGTCCCCCAAGCCTTGTGACCTCAAATGTAATGAGGTTCATGAAGGCACTAGCATAAGTGATCACTGGGAGGGTAAAATTGTGCCTTTCTAAAGACCAATCTGAAATGTATTAAAGTTTAAAATACACTTAGTGGCCAGACTATTATGATCTCTGAATGCATAATAATCTGGCCACTCAGCACATATATATATATATTAGAGGCCCAGTTGTCTAAAAAGATAGGGCCTATTTCTATGATATAATGGGGAAAAGTGAGCTCCAACTATGAAAAGTATATATATGTATATTTTAAAAAATATGTCTGATTTTTTTTAGAGAGATAAGGAAAAGGGAGAGACACATCAGTCAGCTGCCTCCTGCATGCCCCCTACTAGGGATTGAGCCCACAACCTATGAATCTGTTGAAAAGTTCACAATTTATAGGAACATGAAGAAAACACCACATTTCTATTAAAAAACCCTGTATGTTTTGATTAAGATGTTTGATATAAATTGTGGGACACTTGCTTTGCCTAACAGCCCACTCAGTTGGCAGGCTGAATCCGAGGCAGGTTGGGAGAGCAGCCGAAGGCTTCTAGAGCGGCCAGTCTGTAGCCATAGTGAGTACAGCTGAAGGGCAGGTGTAGGTTCAAGCGATGACCCGGAAGAGAAGCGAAGAGCCGATGGCTGAGCAGGTGGTTAGAAACGTTCTGCTTCGGCTGCTTTATGTTGGAGGGGGAGTGGGGAAGCTCCTCCTTCCATCCCATCCCAAGGAGCTGGGAGAAACGGGGTTGAGGGCAGGCAGCTTGGTGCTAACAGCCTTAAAGCTTATGATGGAAAAAGCCTGTGAGGACTCTGACCAACGTTTTTAAATTCTTCCCTTTTCTGAAGTAGCAGAATCAGTGATGGGAAAGAATTTTTAGTTAGAAGCATCAAGTGAATGAAAACAAATGTTCTATGCTAGTTTGGTTTTGGCGAGGCAGGGGCATGAGGTGTGTGGGAGGAAGAGAGTGTGTGCATGTGCCTGCGTTTGTATGCAGGGGGGTTTAATTGAACTAATGTGGTTAACGGCTAAGAATTACTGCAAAGCCTACACATTACGGTTGCATTTATGTAAATTTTGCATACATCTTAAGTGCATATAAACACATGCCTTTATATATATAAAATGTTTTCAAATGTGTCCTTTCATGTTGTAGGCTTAGCCACTTAACGCAATTGCTTATTCCTAGACAAAGCCTGCTTGGAGGACAAGGAAAGGCTTCCTTCAGAGTGGCTGGGTGAGCTCTGACGGGAAGTATAGCTGCTGCCCATCTGTGAGGCCTCAGCCTCCATGGGGGAGTGGCTCACCCTAACACACAGCTGCACAACTTGGAAAATATCAAGTCTTGTAAACAAACATGCATGGCAGGGGAAAGCGAGAGTGACCAAGGACAAAGGGGAGAGGCTAGATTTGAGAGGGGGGAAAAGTGGGAGCCCAAGAGAATGAAGAGTTCAACTTCATTTGCTTTGGGGGAGTTAGTGGGAGGGAGTTTGAAGAGAGAGGAGAGGGTTTCCAACAGCTGCTATAGAGTATGGTAGTTATTGAGAGTGGGAGAGATGGGGGAAGGGGGAGGGTTTTTGTCCATGCATGTATTCTAGTCCCTTCTGACATTTCCCCTCTACATATTGAGGCAAATATTTAAATTGTTCTCAAATACATTTTTTAGAGGGGATGAAACCATATGGTGATCTGGTTTCATGAAAAAAAAAAAATTGTAATTTAGTGATGGTCCAAGGACTGCCTGGACCAAGTAGTCCTGGGGGAGTCAGGCACAGACAGCTGTAAGCCAGAAGGTCACTGTGCCTCTCCAGATCAACTTGCCCTTCTTCTGTGCCCCAGGAGGCTGCCCACATGGGAATATAAAGCTGGATCCTTGGTTCAGCAAATAAGAACCACTCCTAAGAAATTGGACAGGGGAGGAGAGTGATATCAGGATGTTTATTTTTTATTTTTTAAAATACATTTTTATGATTTTTACAGAAAGGAAGGGAGAGGAATAGAGAGTTAGAAACATAGATGAGAAACATCGATCAACTGCCTCCTGCACTGGGGATGTGCCTGCAACCCAGATACATACCCTTGACCAGCATTGAACTTGGGACCCTTCAGTCCACAGGCTGACGCTCCATCCACTGAGCCAAACCAGTCAGGGCCATCAGAGTGTTTATATCCCAAGATCCTCTGCAGGTCTGTGTATCCCTTGACCAGAGACCACTGTTCCTCTTAAGTGGCCCTCCTTCACAGAATGCAGTTGTCCCTGTCTAAGGGTGGTGGTGATCCCCTGCCTAGTGCTGGCTCTGGGATGCTGCACTGTCCCCTATGACTTTCCTCCACTCAGTCCACATCTTTGAAAACAGTCCCCTTAATAAACTGTCCCAGCTCCTGTCCTCACCTCTTCCTGGGCCACAATGCTACAGTCCCCCAGGGACCTAGATTTCTTCTATCTTGTTTCACCAGTATTCTCATCATCTACATGGTTACAGCTGGCTCACCGTAGTCTCACCCAATTGAAGGGGGAAAAAACAAATAGAGGGTATATTAGGTTCCTTTTATAGCTGAATCCAATTATGACAAATACAATGGCTTAAAACAACACAACTTCATCTTCCTGTTCTGTAGGTTAGAAGTCTAATTCAGCTCTCACTGGGCTAAAATCAAGGTATGAAGGTGTCGCATGGCTATGTTCCTTTCCGGAAGCAGTGAGAGAGAATCCGTTTTCTTCTTTTTCCCCGGTTTCTTGGGGCCACTTACATTCTTCGATCTTCCAAGCTGGCAGATTGTCAGCAGAAATGCTTGCAGACAAATGATGACAAGTAGTTTTTGAATACTATTCCAGTGTCATTTGGAGAAAAGAAAATCCTTTGGCTGAGAGAATAAATATGTAGGAAAAGGGGTGTAAAAAAACAAGTCACATTTTGAGTTACATGCACTTTATTCAGAAGAGAACAATGGTTTTACAGATAAAGCAAAACCAAATAAAATGCAGAAACACTAGAATATACCACCCATATTCACTCCATTCTAGTATTCAATATATAATTGATTTTCATTTAATTTGTTTACATTTATTTTTATTTTATTGTTGCATAGTAAGAGCATTTAATATGAGATCCACTCTCTCAATACATCTTTAAGTGAATATTATTGTTAGCTACACATATACTGTACAGCAGATCTCTGGAAACTTATTCATCTGGCTTAACTGAAACTTTAGGCCAGTTGGTTAGTAACTCCCCATTCTCCACTACCCCTCGCCTGGACACTTTAATGGTTAGTATTAGTAAATAGAATCTTATTTTGACTTGTACTTGCCCTATGTAACTAATTATTTTTTTAAGTTAGGAAAGGCAAGAGGAAAGGTTTCTGAAAGCAGAGACAACCTCTTTACTTCTCCCTTCTGTTCCACACGAAGAGGCGTTTCCGGGGCCCACGGTCACTCCCCAGCATGCTGAGCTGAGCTGCTGCAAGGGGAGGGCTCCTGCACGGGAGTAGGGAGTCGAAGAGGCTGATCATCTGTGCTCCCAAGTTCAGCACAGCTCCTCAGGAACCAGAAACAAAGGCACTGGCTGTTGCGTTTCAGCTCGGCCTAACACTAGCAGCTTAAATATTTACTTTCTTGCTCAACAATTTCATTTTTAATGGCAATGACGTGATCCTCCAACTGTTTCAGTTGATCAGCTTTTTTTTGTCTACTTAGATTCAAATCTTGAATCTTCTTTTCTAAATCTAAAAAAGAAAATGAAAGGAATTATGTATTTCTGTTTGATAAATTCCTCCTGGATGCCAAGTGATACCAAACACGTGGAGTTTAGGTGTCGCATAAAGGTATATCTAGTTTGGTGTTTTGATTCATTAGACCACATGTGTCAAACACAAGGCCCCCGGGCCAAATCCGTCCCACCAGGCCTTGCAATGTGCCCCGCACCGCGCTGTCATCACTGCACTCCGCTGCGTTTCCATCACAATGACAGTTTATGACTGTTCAGTAAACCATTCGGCCCGCGATTTATGCTGGATTTTAGATTTTGGCCCCTTCTCTGATTGAGTTCGACACCCCTACATTAGACGAAACACTTATTTTCACCAGACTACTCAAGGTTTTCGTGTAAGTCTGAGTAGACAAACTGATACATTTGTCTAAAAGTATTTTCTACCTAAAGGCATTTATCAATGTGAATCTGTACCTAGTTCAAGTTGACTAGAAATGAAGAGACAGAAGATAAGCATTGATTGGACCTGGTGAAGTGTTATATTTCCAAAGATTCTTTCTTCCTTCCTTCCTTCCTTCCTTCCTTCCTTCCTTCCTTCCTTCCTTCCTTCCTTCCTTCCTTCTTTTCTTCCTTTTCTTCCTTTTCTTTCTTTTCCTCTCTCTCTCTCTCCCTCCCTCCCTTTCAAAAAATATTTTTATTAATTTCAGAGAGAAAGGGAGAGAGAGAGAGAGAAATATCAATGATGAGAGAGAATCATTGATTGACTGCCTCCTGCATGCCCCTCACTGGAAATTGAGCTGAATCCTGGGCATATGCCCTGACCGATAATTGAACTGTGACTTCTTGGTTCATAGGTTGATGCTCAACCACTGAGCCACACCGACTGGGCTGTTCTTTCTATATTAACTATTCTTTTTAACATGTATCTTTCACTTTAGGGTTTCCCAATCTTTCAGTAAAAAGAACCGACTTTTTCTCTTCATATTCTCCTGCTAACATTGAAGTCCTTGAACAGTAAAAGCAACGTGATGTCTTTCTTGACTTCACTCCCATCTGTCCGTCCATCCATTCATTTATCCACTCTTCAACCAACAAATATCTGGGAGTTATATTAAACCGTAAGGAGTCCACAGAACAGTGGATGGGAGAGGCATAAGCAGCTATGGTTGACAGTGAGGTGGCCATTAGGAAAGACACTGGCTTTGGGTTGAAGTGGAACTTCTCAAAGAAGGTAAATGTTACTTGGTCAGATCACACCTTGGCATTCAGTTGGTTTGGGGTAACTGTCAAACTAGCATGTAGCCTGTTTAGAGGAAGGAACCGGATTATGAAAACATCTGAAACTGTCCTGCGAACAAAAATGGAGTGCCCTGGAAATTTTCATAGAAAGGAAAGAAGACATGTGCCACAGCTATTTTTAAGTATTTGAGGGCCAGAAAAGCAGAGTAAGTGTGTGGGCTTTTTTCTTGTTTGTTTTGTTTTTTTCTTTTTCTTTGGTCAGCCCGAGGAAATAGAATGCAACCAGCAGGTGAAAGCTCCCTAAGGATTTTGTCTGAATATAAAGAACTTTCTAGTAGTCACAGCTACTCAAAGACTACAGAGCTACTGTTAAAGGTGGCCAACATTCTGTCACTGGAAACTTTCAAATATAGGTCAGTTGGGATTGAAAAGGGGATTCAGCTTTGAAAGTGTATTATTAAAAAAAAAAAAAAAAAAAAAAAAAAAAAGACAAGCCCCCATGTTTCTACTACATTTGTTAATAAGACTGCGCTGGCTCCTTTTTACTTGCCCCACCAGATCCAGTCTCCACCCTGTTCTGTGTCCTGGAAAGCTGGCTCCATGGATGACATCACCTGGCTCCCTGACCTCTGGCTGTCAGGCACGCTTGGCCACTGTAGGTTCTGAGAAGTGGTGGGAGGGAGGGAGGGGAGAGCGAGCACACTCCTCCCTGGTGAGCAGCAGGCTCTGTCAGTTCTCACAGCTCAGCTCCAGCTCCTGAGGGCTGGCCTCTTCCCTTCTGTTCCAGTGCCCACAGGCCTGCTTCACAGCATTCATGTCCTGCACCCCTGCTCCTTCAGGCTCAGGATGCTCATGGCTTCTCTCTGCTGCCATCACCCAGAACCCCCAGGCCCTTGCTTGTTTGCCAGAAGCCAATTCCAGCATGTCAGCAGGTCTGACTCATCTGGGAATGGCTGAGGGCATTTCCCCAAACCTGAAAAAGATGCATAAATTGATTGCTCGCTGCCAGACAGCTAAGGGCATTTCAATCTACATGTTAATGCCTCCTACTGGCCAAACACCTGAACAGCTGTAGGCAATTCTACAATCTGACAATGGATTCTGTACTCTAAACCCTGGCCTTTGAAGTGTATATCTACCTTGCCTTAGGACAATTTGTGGTAATAAAAAGCAAGGGGTCCTGAGACAAGGAGAACTTAGTTCCTTTAGCTAAGTCTTCTCTGGTGCCCCAAAATGCCTTCCAAAATTACATTTCGTCTCTGGACTCTTATTTAATTTACATACAGCCTTCTCCAGATTCCTGAACCCTTCTAGATGCTGGATTAATATCCCTGGCATTTACTTCCCGGAATCCTTGCACATTCTTTGTTGCTTCTCCCATCAAACCAGGTCAGCTTTGTAAGTTATTTTGACCAATAGAAAGTGGAAGAAATGATTTTGTAGGACCTGAAGAGACTCACAGCTTCTGTACTTATTTTCATGGAACTTTCAAACAACCTTGCTGCAAAGCAGTCTGGGATGAAAGACCCCCATAGAGAGGTCCAGCCTCTCAGCCAAGGTTGGCCCCTGACCCATCAGCCAAATGCAGCTGTTTGGACAGATAGCTGAGACAACTCTGTTTACAAACACATGATCCAGAATTACATCCAAGCATGCTTTCTCTTTCTTTCTGGGAGCATGACTGAGTTCTATGGAGGGACCCTGGCTGCAGACTGGGGCCCATTTTCGACTCTCTCAACGTTGATTCTGCCGAGGTAAGTTAAGGGTTGCTTTTTGGGATCCCACAAGCATCACTTCCCAACAGATGGGAACAGAGCACAGCCCTTGTGGCTCAGCCCCTTCTCCAGTGGCGGAGTCGGGAAAGTGGCCAAACCAATGTCTGTCTTTCCTGTCTTGTTGAGTTTCGAAAACAGTCTTACCATGAAGAGAGGAATGTGTTGTTTTAGACCCCTCGGAGGAGAAGTCCCCCAGCTTAAACTTTTCTCCCAACCTAATGCCAGAACTGTGGAGGCTTTAGTCTCCGGGGATAAGTGGAAACAATTTGGATCCTGACATCAAATATAAGACAGAAACTATTCTCTCCATGATTTTGCTCCTTTGGAAGGATCAAGGATAAGAGAAACTGATATTCATGGTATTGCCTGTGTGACAGAGTATAGAGTAAAAAACACAGTGTCTGTCTTTTTTAATCTTTCCTAGTATCTCCTTTAAAATTATAAGGAAAACACTAAAAATGGAAAAAAAGTATCCACAAGCTCACTACTTTTAAAACTATTATATAAATGTAAAAAGTACATTTTCTTCTTCACTCTCCTCCTCCCAGAGATAACTAATGTTAACCATTTGGTATGTGTTTTTCTTTGCTTTGGTCCACACTAATATTGCATTTTCTTCTCTCTCTCTTTTTTTTTCATGTCATAGTGATGATATGCATTTTAAAGTGAGGATTTGGGGCTATTTTAAAACTTTGTTACTTATATTACAAATAAATATTGTTTTAAAACTTTCAGAGACAATACATATAACCAAAAGTAAAAGTAAACCACTCATCATTTGATATTTCTTAGAGGTAGTCAAGGACATGATGATTGTCCAGAAAAATCATGAGTATTAGTTGTGGAAAGCAAAAATCCTAATGAACTTTCTGATTGTTTGCCTTCCAGGTGTGTACACTTTGTGTCCATCAGGATCTCCATTTTGACCAAAATCCTTGTCTAGAATGTGATTCCTTCTGGGTTGCTACCTACTGGCCTCGCTAGGTGACCTGGTGCCCTAGAGTCTAGATCATACTGATTCCAAAAGAGCGATTTGCACGAGGGGAGAAAATGCGCAGTATAGGTTTGGAAGAGGGTTTTTCAGTCCCAGTGCCATTGATACTTTGGGCAGAAGGATTGTTTGTTGGGGGTTGGGGGTTGGGAGTTGGGGTGGTATCCGTGTATAGGATGTTTAGCACCACCCCTGGCCTCCATCCACTAGACGCTAGTTGTACCTCCTAATTGTGATAAGCAGAAATGTCTTTAGACATAATCACCCCCAGTTGAGAACTACTGGGTTAAGAAAAGGGCATTTCAAGGTGACCAAAGGTAAATCTCAGTTTGTTCTGATTAACACAGAGTGAATGCTAATTAACACCCTTTTGTGTGTTATCCTCATCCTAGAACACATGTGTCAAACACAAGGCCCGCTGGCCAAATCCGTCCCGCCAGGCCTTGCAATGTGGCCCGCACCTCGCTGTCATCACTGCACTCCACTGCGTTTCACAATGACAGTTTATGACTGTTCAGTAAACCATTCGGCCTGCGATTTAGGCTGGATTTTAGATTTTGGCCCCTTCTCTGATTGAGTTCGACACCCCTATCCTAGAATATATACTGAGTGGCCAGATTATTATGATATCTGAATGCATAATAGCCTGGCCACTCAGAGGCCCGGTGCATGAATTCATGCATGGGTGGGGTCTGGCCAGGGAGAGGGGACATGGGCGGTTGGCCAGCCTGCCTGCTGGTTGAACTCCTGGTCGAGGGGACAATTTGCATATTAGTCTTTTATTATATAGGATATACGCTGAGTGGCCAGATTATTATGTGTTCAGAGATCATAATAATCTGGCCACTCAGTGTATTTTCCCCCATTGATTTTTAGAAACAATGGAAGAGAGGGAGGGAGAGGAAAGGAGGGAATGGGGCGGAGGGGGGGGAGGAGAAGGAGGGAGGGAGAGAGAGAGAGAGAGAGAGAGAGAGAGAGAGAGAGAGAGAGATTGATTGGCTGGCTCCCACACTTGCCCTGACCTGACCAGGCCAGGGATCAAACTAGCAACCCAGGTATGTACCTTTGACTGGGAAAAACCTGTTACCCTTTGCTGTATGCTCCAACACAGTAACCACTGGGTCACAGTGGCCTGGGCCTCTTCCCTTCTGTTCCAGCATCCACAGGCCTACGTCACAGCATTCATCGATCTGCTCCCCTGCTCCTTTGGGCACAGGATGCTGATGTCTTCTCACTGCTGCTGGTCACCCAGACCCTCCAGGCTTGTTTTCCTTAATTCCTTTGCCCCCAGACCAGGTTTGGCTTTGCAAGTTCCCAAAGCACAAACCCAATTCCTACTTTGTTCTCCTCAGTGGACTCACATGTGGTTAAATTGTGTCAATGCTACATTGAAATTGGTATAAATTCTACCTCCTGATGAAGTATGTCAAATTGATAGCATGGGTAGAAGAATAGATAGAATTGCCATATGATCCAGCAATCTCATTTCTGGGTGTATATTCAGATGAAACGAAATCTGTATCTTGAGGAGATATATGCATCCTGAAGTTCATTGCAGCATTATTCACAATAGGCAAGGCATGGAAACAACCTGAGTGTCTGTTAAAATATATATATTTTGCTACATGATGAGAACCTGGAGATATCATGCTAAGTGAAATAAGCCAGAACAGCGGTTGCCAACCAATGGTCCGCGAACCACTGGTGGTCCGTGAGGCCCGAAGGTTGGCGACAGCTGAGCCAAAAAGACAAGCACTGTATGATCTCACTCATTCCATCCATGTGCAGAATTAAAAGCAAAGAAAGAGTCGAGCTGATAGAAACATAGTGGAATGGAATGGTGGCTGCCAGGGGTTGGGGATGGGTGAAATGAGGAGATATTGGTCAAAGGGTGCAAACGTTCAGTTAGAAAATGAGTAAGTTCTGAGGATCTAATGTACTTATGCTGCTGATTATCGTTACTACTGTGTTTCCCCGAAAATAAGACATCCTCCAAAAATAAGACCTAGCGCATGGAAAGATAAGACATCCCCTGAAAATAAGACCTAGCGCAACTTTGGGAGAAAAAAATTTATATAAGACACTGTCTTATTTTCGGGGAAACAGGGTAACAGTGTACTGTGCACGTGAGTAGACCTTAAGCATTCTCAAAGGTAACCCTGTGAGGTGACAGATGTGTTAATTAACTTGATTATGGTAATTATTTCACCATGTATACCTGGAGCAAATTGGCACACTGTACAGTTTAAATACATACGAGTCTATTTGTCAATGACAGCTCCGTAAAGCTGGGAAAGAGGAGGTACCTGCTATCCTTTTTATCTTGTCCTCCGTATCTCCAGCCAGTTTTGCCGCTGCATCTTTTAGCTGCTCCACTTTTCCTAAGGTTTCCTTCGCCAGTCCTGCCATGCTGGTCTTGTGTTGAAGAACAGTGTATTGATTTCTCAGCTCCACAAACTCCTGTAACAGATCAATCCTCCCATCATCAGGAAATATGGATAAAGCGTGGACACACACACAACATTTGCCTGATGCTGTTCATAAAAAGGAATAAGAGAAAACCATAATCCAGTCAATATACTTGAACTACTCTGATAGTTCCAACAGGGCTTTTCGTTGCATTTTTTTTTCAGGTTGAAAAAAAATATCAGCTTTAGTTAATTAAACTTTGTTCCAAAATCTTGAATCGTCACTCCATGTGAAGGCAGATGCTTATGAAGGACCGACCGACTGTTTGTCCTGAGCTACGTTAAGGCGAGAGACACACAGGACAGAATGACCCGGCCCTGCCCTGGCCTGCTCCTCAGTGTGTCAAACAGCTGCAGTGCTGGGTGCAGCGAGGACACATCGTTTGGTTGGCAAAAAGGTGGGACAGAAATGAGGCGGGAAGGGAGGCGGGCAGGGAAGCAGAAGCCTTAGGAAGAAGATCTCCCTCAGAATTAGAACGGACATCTTTGGGGTCAGCCTCTGTGGTTGACCATTTAGGATGTTACAGAGGTGGATAAAGGCCAGACCCAGGAACAGAATATGGAAGGGGGAAGGGAAGGGGACAAGAAGCCCTTTGTTGACTTCTGTTCCATAGAAAATGTTCTCTGCTCTCGTCAGTGGAAACTTGACCCAGAGCACGAGGGCTTAAAAGCAAGATAACAGGCCAACTGTAAAAATACTTTCGCATTTTCCTTTTGTGTAAGCTACTGTATTAATGCTACCGAGCGGAGACGTGCTGCTAAGAACACGAGCTGATAGGATCTTTCAGCACCTTAAATGAGCGAGCCACTTTCCACAACTGCTTAATGAACTCACTCTGACTTTTGTAACTTCATCTATTCTCCGGCAGGTGACTTTCCCTTCTTGTTTGCCTTACATGTAATGTGACTTAATTAGAGTAAAGGGCAAATAGGTACAATATAGTGGCATAACATGTGACTAGAAGAGCAGTAAGAGCCCTGGGGCGAGTGGGTGGCCAGTAAACTCTCCCACCGGATTTGGCCAGAGGACCGCTGCCTTCTCCAGAGACAGCCCTCCCCCAGCTCCCTGCCCATCGGGATCCATACACACATACACCACTGCTCATGGACCCGCACTACAGGCCATGCTGGCGAGTGGAGCGAACATCTGGGGATAAAGGGTCAGCCTTCAGAGAAGCACTGTGCGCTCTTGGTGGCGGGGGTGGGACTCCTGACCTCCTCGAGGCCCCCGGCCTGGCGCTGGGCCGACTCCGCCTGAGCTCCCACGTGGACGGCTTGCTCTTGATTCCTTTGCAACTTGACCCGCAGCTGGGAAAGTCCGTCCTCCAGGGCTGACCGTTGCTTTGCTGAGTCCAGTTCCTTCTCAGTCTCCTGGGCTTTATTTTCAGTCTGTTGTTGATTTAGAGATCAGAAAAAGAGAAAGTTTCTTTTTGCAACAAGAAGCAAACAAACAAACAAAAAAAGAAGTGATGTAATTCTTCAGAAAATAAGCTAGGTGTAAAGGGAAAGAAAAGCATTCCTTTGAATTTTCGGTTCCATTCACAAAAGAAAAATGTTATGATAAAATATTTCAGACATACGAGATTCTAAAAGACAATATGAAACATATCCACGCACCCACCAGCAGGGGTGAGAATAAAGCATGGCCAGTGACGTCCTCGCTGGTTTGGCTCAGTGGATAGTGTCGGCCTGTGGACGGAAGGGTCCCAGGTTTGATTCTGGTCAAGGGCACATGCCTGGGTTGTGAGCTTGAACCCCAGGAAGGGGGGAGGGGTGCAGAAAGCAGCCAATCAATGATTCTCTGTCACCATTGATGTTTCTCTCTCTCTCTGTCTCTCTCTCTCTCTCTCTCTCTCTCTCTCTCTCTCTCTACCTCTCCCTTCCTCTCTGACATCAATAAAAATATAATTTTAAAAAATGGCCAGTAAGCCGAAGTCCTCAGGGCACTGCTCCCCATCATATTGCGCTCCCCCCCCCCCCCCCCCCACCAAAGGCAAACCACTAACCAGAATCTAGCATTTACCATTCCATGTTCTTCTTGGTGCCTTTAACTCTATGCCTATGCAGTATTTCTAACAATGTGCAGTGTTCCATATTTTTAACTTTGTGCAAATATATAATTATTCTATTCTGTTTTTACTTTTTGCTTGATGTACATGGCTTCTACATGATATATTTATTTCTGAACATGCTATATTTATTTCTTATATACTTGTCATATCAAGAAGTCCTATTTAAATATTCCTCAAATCTAACTGGTCATCTGTTATCTCTTGTCTCTTATTCTTTGGTTATATATATTTTTTATTTTATTAAACATTGTAAACATTCCTACCCAATAATGGTAAGAACTATGGTCTGTTGCCTTTTGATCTTGTTGGTTGCTCTCTTGTTCGAGGCAATATATTTGGGAGTGGGGGGTGGAATTCTTTGAGGTTTGGTTTTAAAATGCATTTTTTTTTTGGGGGGGATTTTCTGTTTGACTCGGTCAGGCATCTGAGGGCACTACCAATCTAGGACCACTTTCAATGACATTTTTAGCTTTGGTTGTTGGGGTCACCCAGGTAGTGTGAATCCTTACCCCAAACTCCAGAAGATCCAGCCTGTGGTTAGCAATTCTTAGTGAGGACTTTCCTCCTCTACCCAGAGCAAGAGGCAAGTGTCTGTATTGTGTTCTCTCTCTCTCTTCCTCTCTCTCTCTCTCTCTCTCTCTCTCTCTCTCCTCTCTCTCTCTCTCTCTCTCTCTCTCAGTGTGGTTTAACATTTCACTGAGGGTTTTGCCTTTTGGGGTCTCAGCTTCCTATAGGGGTCATATTCCTTCCTTGCGTGGGCTTCATTTTTTTGTCTGTTATGTATGGTGACCATTAAAACTAACAGCGCTAATACGCCAGAGGTTAGCAGATGCCCTCTGCTAACGGGTTCATGCTTAATTACCTTTATGGATTCATCTTTTCCTGTCATTTTTGGTGTCTGAGGATTTCCTCTGTTTCTAACTAATTCAGCTCTGCATAAAAATTTTTTTTTAGTGGAGGCTGGGAAGAGGGGGGAAGGGGGGCAATGGAAAATAATCTGTAATACTATCAACAATAAAAAATATATATAAAAGGATTTTTTTAAATGTTCAACCTAACATTTTGATTTTCCTCCTAGGATGGTTCGTTGAAGTACTGGTCCACCATATTTTTTAGAACTAGAAGTCGCTTCCTGTGCCTTTGAGCATATGTCAGAGTTTTCCTGGAGCAGATATCTGCAACTTTTTAAAAAAAAATTAAAGGGCCAGACAGTGAATATTTTACACTCTCTAATCCACACAGTCTCTTCTGCAACTATTCCACTCTGAGCCATTGTAGAACAAAAATAGCCATAGACAACACGTGGTGGGATGCCAACAAAGCCGTGTGACTTTGGAGACAGAGGCCTTTGGTGTGCCTATTTGGCCCAGGAGCTATGTTTTGTCAACCCCTGTTGTAGAGAATATTCTTAGAAGGAGGGGAACCCGGAGGCATTCCGAATTCTGTTGTTTCCCTGTGTATGCCACCTCTTCATCTGCAGCTCTTCACTTCCTGGTGCACTACTTGTTCTGCTGCTTCCTGCTTCTCTTTTCAAGATGCAGGTATTTAAAGCTAGCAAACACAGCTGAAGAATAGAGACTGGGTAATTTGCAACCTGCTGGGGAGGGGATGTGATAGATCAGTGGTCGGCAAACTGCGGCTCCTGAGCTACAGGCGGCTCTTTGGCCCCTTGAGTTTTTAGCAAAAGGCCAGCTAGGAGTACACTAGTTAAGTTAATAACAATGTACCTACTTATATAGTTTGTTTAAAAAATTTCCTGGGTCCAGGTCCTGCCCTGTCCTCTAGTTGCCAGGCTTCCTCTCCTGGATCCATTGCGTGTGCTAAACCATGGTCTTCTCTCTCTGAACTCCAGATGGAACCCTTTCTTTTGAGTAAGTAAGGTATTCTTTCCATCTTAGGATACTCCGATGAGATTTTATGCACATTTAGTTACAAACAGCTGGCAACAAATTCACATGTTTTTTTTTGTTTGTTTGTTTTAAATATATTTTATTGATTTTTTACAGAGAGGAAGGGAGAGAGATAGAGAGCTAGAAACGTTGATGAGAGAGAAACATCGACCAGCTGCCTCTTGCACACCCCCTACTGGGGATGTGCCCGCAACCAATGTACATGCCCTTGACCGGAATCGAACCCGGGACCTTTCAGTCCGCAGACTGACGCTCTACCGTTGAGCCAAACCGGTTTCGGCACGTTTTTTCTTTGGGTTGTGAGCTTTAAAGAGTCTCTGCCCCAGCTGTTGGCTCAGATGGGTGGAGCATCGACCCCTGCACCAAAAGGCTGTGGGTTCAATGCCTGGTTGGTGCATGTATGGGAGGCAACCGGCAATGTTTTCCTCTCACACCAATGGTTCCCCCTTCTCTCTCTCTCTCTCTCTCTCTCTCTCTCTCTCTCTCTCTCTCTCTCTCTCTCTCTCTCTCATAAATAAAACACAAACATATCCTTGGGTGAAGATGAAAAATAACAACACAAATAATAAAGAGTCTCTTACTCTCCCTGGTATCAGAAGGGATCAACTCTGACATCAGATATACTTTAGTTATCTGTGTGGCCTTCATTTTCTCATTTATAAGCTGATGGTAGCACCTGCTTTATCCCCCAGGATTGGCCAACAACAAAATGAAGGGATGTTGGGAGAATGCTGTAGAACATTAAATGCATAATGTGACCCTAATCTTATTTTATCCTTACAATCCCATCAGACAGGGAAGTCAAGCGTGACCCTGGCATTTGTAAAACCTGGGCTGTTTCCACACTCGAAATCTATTTCAGATTAGTTTCAAGGAAAATAGAGAAATACCTGCAGCGCGCTCTCTTTTATTTTTGTTATCTCGGCTGTCAGCTGTGCGATATTAGAATCTGCCCGTCCTTGAGTGATTTCGGCTTGTTGCCACTTATTCAGCATTTCGTCGGGATTCTGTAGAACACGTGCTGCTTTTCTAATGTAAAATATTGCGCAATTATTCATATATCTCATTTTGAGAACTCATTTGATTCAACCAAAAATTTACTGCATTATTTATAAAGTAAACTTATAAAGGAAACTCTTCAGTAAGGCAAAGGGCTTGGAGTCTTCATTTTGAGAAACAGGCATACTGAATGCCAATAAAAACACACATATATATGCATGTGCAGAAACAGATTCCACCAGAGATGAACATCAAATATAAGCTCTTATTTCTCCTTAATAACAGAGAGGGTTGGGGCTATCACTGCCAAGTTTTGAACAAAAAACTATCAAACAAAAAACTATTCTTCGCCAATTCCAGTTCTGTAATTTCTCAAACTTGAGCAACAGTTTCTAAATCTTTATTGGAGTGGGGGTGAGAGAGTCAAGAGGCTCCGCAGAGAACAAAGAGAGAACCAGAGGCCTGCATTTTCGGACTGTTTATTCTGGTTTATTTAAGCCTCACTGGCATTCCAGCTGCCCAGGGGCCCAAAAGGTTAAAATCAGAGGTTAAAATCACAAGCATTCCAAGTGATGGGCGATGCTATAGAAATGCGATCACCTCGAGTGAACATTCTCCAGCTACTGAGATCTGTGGGCTCACAAACACCTTTGGAGGAATGTACCAAGTGAGAGAAGTATCAGACAAACGTGGCAGAGGTGTAATCAGAAATGATTGTGCCCGGAGCAAAAATAGCTCAATTGCAAAACATCCCCTTCCTCATCCAACCCACCCTCTCCTAAGAAAGAAAGGAAAGGAAAGGAAAGGAAAGGAAGGAAGGAAGGAAGGAAGGAAGGAAGGAAGGAAGGAAGGAAGGAAGGAAGAAAGAAAGAAAGAAAGAAAGAAAGAAAGAAAGAAAGAAAGAAAGAAAGAAAGAAAGAAAGGAAAAGACTTCTTTTAAGACCAGTTGTAGGTTTGCAGCAAAATTGAGTGGAAGGTAGAGATTTCCTATTACCGCCCCCTACACACACACACACACACACACACACACACACACATGCATATCCTCCCCTCCCCCCCATTATCAACCTGCCTCACCAGAGGGCACATTTGTTACAACTGATGAACCTATACTGACACATCATCATCACCCAGAGTTCATAGTTTACATTAGGGTTCACTCTTGTTGTACAATTCTATGTATTTGCACAAATGGATAAGGACATGTATCCATCATTTTAGTGTCATTCAGAGTGTCATCCTAACATTCCCCCGTGCTCTGCCTATTCATCCCTCCCCTCAACCCTTGGCAACCACTGATATTTTTTACTGTCCCTATAACTTTGCCTTTTCCAGAATGTCCCATAGTTGGAATCATATAGGATGTGGCCTTCCTGTCTATACTTTCCCCCCCTATTGTTACAGTGGGAGTTCAGGAGCCTTCCTTTCTCATAACACCACACACACACACACACACACACACACACACACACACTTTTTATGGAGCCTTTTTTTCTTTAAATTTCAACATACTGCTCATTATAGTAAAGTTAGAAAGTACAATGTGAAAAAGAAGGAGGAGGAGGAGGAAGAGGAAGAGAGGAGAAGGAAGAAGAAAAAAAGTCCAGAAGGGGAAAATTTACCAGTGAACCTACCACCTTTTAAAATTATTTTTAAAATATATTTTATTGATTTTTTACAGAGAGGAAGGGAGAGAAAGAGGGACAAAGAGCTAGAAATATCAATGAGAGAGAAACATTGACCAGCTGCCTCCTGCATGCCCCCTACCGGGGATGTGCCCACAACCAATGTACATGCCCTTGACCAGAATCTAACCTGGAACCTTTCAGTCCCCAGACCGATGCTCTATCCACTAAGCCAAACCGGTTTCAGCAACCTATCACCTTTTAAAATACTGGCATATTCTAGCATTTTTGCTCTAACAGGCCTTTTTTAGTCCTCACCTGAGGAAATGTAATTAATGAGAGAGAGAGAGAGAGAGAGAGAGAGAGAGAGAGAGAGAGAGAGAGAGAGAGAGAGAGAGAATAATTGATTGGTTGCCTCCTTTATGTACCCCAACCGGGGATTGAACCCCTGACTCGGAAATGAACCCCCAACTTTTTGATGTATAGGATGATGCTTCAACCAACTGAGCCACCGGCCAGGGCAAGATGAGAACATTAAAACTGTACTTACTCAGCTGCTTTTGCCTTCACCAAAATCTTCTGGGCTCTATCTGCTGCTTTATTTAGCTTGTCCTCATCTGTCCTGTAGTCCTCAGAGAGTTGCAAAAGTTTCTGTATGTTGTCAAGTTCATGGGTTATACTTTGTGATGTTATTGGCAGGTGGATGTCAAGTACACGATTTGCAACCTTTTCTATGTCCTCTGGAGGCACACTTTCCTCTTAAATAAAAAGGTGGGTTTTAGGTCATTATGTCTCTTTATCAAATACCATCTTTTAAGGATAGCTACAATGAACTCAAAGTCCAATGCACTTGCATTTGATTTTGTGTCCCTAGAACTCAGGGATTAGATTGTCTACATCCCATAGATTCTTCTTCATGCTTCATTTCCCCCTTGCTTTGAAAGGAACATTGCTACTCTAGGGTTGTATATATGCTACACTAATGCTTGTTGGAAAAGTGAAAAACTACCAACTTGAGGTATCACCTATGTTCTACAAAATGTCCTCGCAAAAAAAAAATAATAATAAAAATAAAAAATAGATTGCTATGAGCACTAAAACAAAAGCAGTTCAAGCGTTTAGATACCTGTCATTAATATTCAAGCACAATGAATGAGAATGGAGAAGCATTGCATTTGGACCCAGTAAACTTGTTCCTCATCCTCCATGACATTAAAAAGGCACAGAATTTTTGCTCATTTGTATACTTGGGTAATTATAACTGATGCTACTTGAAGGTCTAATCTTGAGAAGGGACTGTGATAATATAGAAAGTACCATGTGAATAACAAATAAGAAACATTTAAATGCACCTATGCTCTACTCTTCAGGAAAATAAAATTGCCCTCTTTGAGAACTGAAGTGGAAGGTGGACTGTCAGTGTGTGGAGTGATAACTCTTTGTCACTGCCTGGTTCCTTAGTGAGGCACAACAGGGAGAGTTAGAGATGAATTAGGTACAGATCTGATCCTCAAAGGGTTTCGCATCAGGTGGGGAAAACAGAAGTCATTCTATATAAATACTGATCATACAAGAACAGAAGAGATGCATATAAGACAACATGATGTGGGATCCAGAGGGAGGAGAAAATACTTCAGGAAGAATTTTAAAAAGCCATTTAAATCCAGCTTGGAGGACAGCAGAGATGAGGGTTGTGAAGACATCAGGTGAGGGGAGGTGTGAAAGGCATTCCAAATTGAAGGAACCATAGAATAAAAGAAACAGGTCACAGCTCCCTCTTGGGGGAGGAGAGAGGTGAGTGGGGTGTCTAAAATTGAAGGAATGGAAGTCAGAGATTGGGAGCAGACCACAGAATTCCCTAAAGTAACTTGGGCTTTGTTTAGGAGGTAGTGGGAGGAACAGAGGATTTTTAGTATTTGAATGGCCTGATATGAGTATATATCCTTTTTGCAATCATTTTTGCTTTAGCTATTTTGTTTAATATAAAAGAAATGTTTTACTCCCTGTAATGTTTCTGGAAAAAAAATGTGATAAGCATGCTTATGAATAAATTAGGACCATATTTTAAATGGAATCAGGGAGTTGGCTCTTTAAAAATGGTAATTCTCATTATAAAAATGTTATAATAATAAAAAGTGAATTTAATTTAACCACAATTTCAGTCATCAAACATTTATTGATATTTATTATGATATCATAAGCTCAAAATTTTTAGATGGGACTCTTAGGAGAAATGACACATAACTTAGTTCATAAGGAATACAGATCACAAGGAAAATAAAATGGTCAAAGAAGACCTGAATAGTGGGCCACCATACAATCTGATGATTTTGTTTGGGCTTTCTAACAAGGAACGGAGAAGTAATGGGTGAGTGAAAGGCACTGCCTCCTGTGACTCAGAAAAGAGAATTTTCTTTTATAGAATACAATTTTTCTCTTTGTCTAGCCTAATTTTTGTTTTAATAATCAGGAAACAGTTTTTTCAGTTCTTTAGGTTAAAGTATTTTTTTTCCAGCAGCAATAAGAAATAGGATTAATATGGGAATAAGCTCTATGACCTAGTGAACTAGGTTAAAAGCAAGAACCTACTTTCTGAACAATTGCTGGGGTTTGGCATCGTATCCCACCATTTTCACAAAATTGGTCTGGAGGTTTCACTTTGTGCCAAATAAACTGGTAACGGTAGAGAGATGCCAGTTTATTTGGCACAATCTCAGTTGAGTTCCTAACTCACTGAAAATTTGCTTTTGAACAAACAAAACGTCCAGTAGACTAATTCCACCCCCATTCATTTTTTACTGATTATTTTGATCATTTTTATTCATTCCTTTTACTGCCTAATTTTTTAGTATCTTGACAATCAGGATTAGAAGCTGCTAATATAATTTCTAGAAACATGAGGTTGGAAAGTATACTTGGTTGGCCATAGGGGTTTCTTATAAATATTAAACAGGTTAAATAAAGTGATTGCCCAGATTATAACAGATACCCCAACTGTCCATTAATTCATGTGTAATAAAGTGTTAAATTATTGAATTTGGAAGGTTACTGTGAAACTCAAAGCCTCTTGAAATTAATTCCACAGTGTTGTACCCAAGCTGCATGATTTGAGAATGAGGTTCCACATCAGTTTCCAGCTGTATTTTTTTAAATAATATTTTTTGGACTGCTCTACTAACCCATTAAATTTTTTTTTCTTTTCTTTCCTTTTCTTTCTTTCTTATTTTTTAAATGTATTGTTAGCATTACAGATGTCTCTCATTTCCCCCATTTACCTCCTTCTTCCAGCCCCTCCTCAACTCCCCCACTTCCCAAGTCTTCACTGACCTATTGCCCATGTCTATGGGTTATGCATAAAATATATAAGTTCTTTTTAAAAATTAATTTCAGAGAAGGAGAGAGAGGTAGAGAGAGATGGAAACATCAGTGATGAGAGAGGATCATTGATAAACTGCCTTTTGCACCCCCCCCACTGGGGATGGAGCCCACAACCAGGCATCCAATTGTATTTTTTAATTTTTTATCTTTAACCAATAATTTTCTAAAGTTTAAAATAAGTCTCTTCCAAAATTAGACATAATGAGCAATAAATTCATAATTATAAGAATAACTCATAACAATAATGAATTAAATAGTTCCTTTGGGCCAAAGAGAACAAGATGAGACTTGGGAAATAGACAATAACAGTTAATAATGAGTATTTTAGAGGCTACCTAACTATGACCAAAATTTATCATACTTTGATCTTATGTATACTGTTAGCAGAGAAGATGATAAAATCCTAAAATCAGGGAACCTGATATAAACTTCATGTTGAATTTTCCTTTTATAAAAAATAGTACAATAACTTAAAGCTTCAAGTTTATTTTTGGAAAAAAAATTTTTTTTTTACTAAATTCTAGCATTTATTACTAATTAATCTCATAAAGAGAATCTTTTTTTTTGGTACTGAGTTAATATTTTGGGATTATTTTCATTAAGAAACTTTAAATCAAAGGGTGTATTATGTTCCTGATTTAGGCATGCCATTCCCAATTAATGTCATTTGAAATTGGTAGTGATGCTTGAGTATACATTAAAAAAAAAAAAAAGAAACAAAAACTAGTCCTAATATTTAAAAAGAATTACCTAAAAGAAACTTTTTCAGTTTTTTTATTAAAAGATTCATGTTTTCTTCTTCAGATTCACTTTGGTTTTTCATATTCCACAGTTTCTCACTTAACTGTAAGGAATTGTTTTTGGAGACTTCTGCCAGTTTACTTATATTTTTTATCTGGAATAAGGAAAACACACAATGATTACCGTAGGTACATTCTGTGATATTTAATTGCTTAGCTGGATCAAATAAAACCATCACCAAAAATTAAAAAGAAGTGTAGATAATTAAACAATTTAAAAACATTTGTAAAAACACTTAAAAAGATTGTTTTCATTACGTGTTTTCTTAATAATGTAAATTTATCTCCTACAACATTATTAGTATTCAAAATCATCATTGGAAAACAATTCTGACCTAATACTAGTGACTTTTCCTGACACAAGTTTTACTTTAACAAGACTTTAGCATTCCATAATATCAACAGATTTCATAGAAATTACTTAGGACTACTCACTTAAAGAGGCCAGTATGTCTAGTAAGTTGAGAGTGTTTTCTTTTATGTAAGTTAAAACAGTGATTCTTCTAAACCTTTCCCCAAATTCAAATAATGTACTTTTCTTTGAAAGCTGAGAAGAAAGCATCCCCTGTTTGAAGAAACGAGTTTGAACTCAATGCAGGCCGCAAAGATAAACCCCAAACACGTTGTACATTTGACAGAGGAACGATAGGACTACAAGGCTGGCAGCCTAGAAATGGAAATCCTTAAATGTGTGTGATTTGAGAAAGGTCACCGGCTTTTTCTTGGGACCCGAGCAAATTTGAGGAAAAGTAAAAACGTGAAGCCAAAGGACAATATCACCCACCAGCTGAGCTGTGTTGAATAGGTTGTGACAGAAGTAGGGCTAATTAGGACCAAACAGATTGTGTGTGTGGGGGGGGGGGGGGGGGGCGAGAGAGGGGGAGGGGATGGAAGGTGGGGAGGGGGTCTCCTATTATTTCCCCGCAATGAAGCCAGCTTAATTGAGCCATACATATTTTGTGAAAAAGGATTCAATTATATCCTTGGCAAATGATGGAACAAAAAAAATATTTACCTGATTAAAAATATGCATCTTAATTGTTTGAGTTGTTCCTTGGCTCCCTAGAATGTTTTAAACGTTAAAGCAGATAGCAATCGCTAAGAGAGTAGATCTCAAAAGTTCTCACAAGGAAAAAAATGTAACTGCGCGGTGATGCTAACTAAACTTATTGTGCGAATCATTTAGCAACATCAAGTCATTATGTTGTACGTCTTCCAGTAACGCGAGTGCAATATTGTGTCAGTTACATCTCCGTATAAAAAAGTGGGTAGCAGCAAGTAAGAACGTATAACAGTAAACTAAGAATTACAGAAATAAATACTCCGGATAGAAAAGTGCCAAATTACACAGACGAAATCTCGGCGGAGATTAGTTCAGTGCCATATTCAGAAAGAAAGAGTTTGCTAAATTACTTCACTCTTAAAACATCTCTCTGCAATCCATCCCCTGTCACAACGGACTCCTGAGAATTCTCTCACAATCTCTCTGGCATGCTTCCCGTGCTAAGCAAGGGGAAAATAGCTCACCGTTTTATCAGTGTGACAACCCCCACCCCGTTCCAGCTCTCTAATGTGCTGATTAAGCCAGATTCTGCTAACACCTCAGGGGCTGTCTTTTAAAAAAGAGGGCTTGTTTAAACTGTGTGAAATTTCTATGTTTTTTTTTTTTAAAGAAGGGTCAATATAATAATTTAAAATCCTATTAAACAATGAAGGCTTGTTTTAAACACGAGGATGCAAGATCAGGATTTGCATTTGTGATGTTCACTGCTGTATTTCCAACATCTAGATAAATGTCTGGCACAGAGTAGGTCCTCGTGAATGTTTATGAGAGGAATGAGGAATAACGTACGTGAAAAACTATGTAGCAATACAGAATTATGACGATGCAAATAAAATGTTTCGACATTTCGTAAGTGCAGGGAATTTCTCCATTCCTGGATTCTTGGGCCTGTGGAGCAAGAACACAGGACCAGCTGGGCCTCAGGATCATGGAGGTGAGGCTCCTGGAGGAAACAGCTGCTTGTGTGCGTGCGTACATGCGTGCGTGCGTGTGCGCACATGTACTGGTGTGTAGGTGCTCATACATGTATCATAGGTGGTTCTCAACCCTTTCCCAAGCTTGACCCTCTATCCTCCTCTCCAGGTGAAATGTCTCCGCGTACATTTCCTTTTTGTTTAGGAGCTGGTTTCTGTTACTTGCAAACAAGAATGCCGACTGATAGAATATTTAACTTTCATTGGTTAAAACACCTCAGTGCTTTAAGAACCATTTTTTCATCAAAGGCTCTACATAGATTGTCAAAAAAGAAGTGAGCCAGGGGACACTTCATCATCTTATTGCCAAGATGAATACAATGTATTATTCACAGAATACCTGACATTGTGTTCACCCTTTTAAGAAGAATATGATGTATTTGCAAAAACGCTAAAGAAAACTAGGTAATTAAAAAGCATACTCATCAATGTGACCAGAAAAGTAAATGAAATCTTTTAAAATTATTAGAGAAGGAATTCAAGGTATAAGAACAAATTCCTGTTAAAATTTTTTCTAACATGAAATTAAATTCTAACATCAAACTGTATATATTTGGTCGAAACCGGTTTGGCTCAGATAGAGCGTCGGCCTGCGGACTGAAAGGTCCTGGGTTTGATTCCAGTCAAAGGCATGTACTTTGGTTGCGAGCACATCCCCAGTAGGGAGTGTGCAAGAGGCAGCTGATCGATGTATCTCTCTCATCGATGTTTCTAACTCTCTATCTTTCTCTCTTCCTCTCTGTAAAATAAACAAACAAACAAACAAATAAATAAATAAAATATATTTAAAAGAAAAAAAACTTAACTGTATATATTTGGTAGAATTTCATATATACCCTTAAATTTATTTTTTTTAAAAATGATTCTTTACTTTGGGAGATCTATAGTTTTCAAAGCTTCAAAGCCAGGAGTCTTCACATTTCTATGTAGTGTTTGCTATAAAGAAATATGTCCACACAAGTGTATGTCCTACAAACACATAGTAATAGAAATATTAAATAGAAAACATGCCAATATTCACATCTACCTCTAAATCTACATTTATATAGACATCTATAGTTTTATCCTACATTTCCAGGCATAAGAATACCTATGGTAGTATCTAGAATCATCCTTCTGCTTAGAAGCTAAATGGCAGTTTTAAAAATTCCAAATAGCTCCCTTTCTTTATTGCTACAGCTTTACAAATCAAGCAGCAGAAGACATGACTCACCTGAGTTTTCAGACCTGGAGCCTGGCTGCTCCAATTCTGAATCATGGACTCTGCTTCCTGAGCTTTCTGAAGGGCATTCCTGGAGAGGGGCCCGGAGTCACGACACCTTGGGCCACCACATGACAAGAGCACACATGGCAGGTCCCCTCGCTCTCCACACCCCTGGCGGAGAAATGGCTTCTGTGAAAAAGGCACTCACGGGCAGATGTTTAAAAAAATTCCATCCAGGTTCATGGTGGCAAGGCTCTGCTCTATTCGTACATGTTTCTTCAACAGTTACTTATGCTTAGTGTATAGATGTGACCCATTAAATGTTTCCTAGGTAACTGAATCAGCATCTAAATTATTTGCTATCAGCATTGTGCCAATTAGTGTCATTTTTATACTTACAGTTTTTGGGGAAATTGTCAAATGTCTAGCATTTCCCTGTTAATTTCCTTTAAATAAATAAAATTTACCTTTTACTCATAATGAGGCAGAAAGAAAAGTCTATACCCTTTGGGAAATAGTAAATAATATAAAATAATAAAACGAAAGCACAGTTTTTACTCTGATTATTCTTAAACTTTGACTTAAATAAAAAATAAATATATTTATTTATTTATATATTGTTAACAGAGCATTTATATATGTTATATGTATTTATATATTTACAAAATAAATAGAAAAGAAATAAGATGTAAGATAGGAAAATATAATTGAAGAGACCAAGTAGAAGCCACAAACATTTTTACTACACTGTATGAATATTTACCTTTTCCTTCAGTATTTGGATATCTGGTATCTTAATCTGTTTTAATTTTTCCAATGACAAGTTTTCTTTTGAGGTTAATGTATCTAAGATGGTAAGTAAGTCAATCCTAGTTTTCTCAGAGTTATTTATGATGGAAGTAGTTTCACTCATTCTTTTTTCAGCAGATGATGATCTGTGATAATACTTCTTGATGTTCTCTGAGAAATCTACATCAACATAAATTGAGGTAAGATAAATGTTTTGAAAACAAATGAAATTATACATTGGCTATCAAGATAATTATTTCACAATTTGGCCACTATAATTGTCTTAATGACAGTATAAAAAGTCAACATTCTCTTCTTTGAATTTACACTCCTATGAGGAAGGATTAGATGTAGGATATTATATATAGATATAGATATAGATATAGATATAGATATGATAGATGTAAAACATTAAGATTCAAATCTGCAGACATGGATTTGAGTGTTGGTTCACCTTTTTCTGTCTGGCTAGGTCCTTGAGCAAATGGTTTAATCTCTTAGATTGAGTTTCCTTATCTGTAAATTGGTGATAATAATTTGTGAGGATTGAGTGAGATATGAAAATATTTTGTAAAGCGTTTCACAAATGTATTAATTATGCATTCATTATGACCCCTAATGTACTGAACCAACTAAATTCACCTAATTTTATAGAGTGGGAGTGGACAAACTTGTTCTGCGAAGAGTCGGGGGATAAGTGTTTTAGTAGGTTTCCCCGGCCATAGTGCTTCTGTCACAATGACTCAACTCTGCCATTGTTGTGTGAAAGCAGCAGCAGACAATAGTAAATAAATAGGGGAGGTTGTCTTCTAATGAAACTTTATTCACAGAGACCAGCTGTGGGTAGGATTTGCTGGCAGGCTGTCTTTTGCTCACCTCTGATGTTGAGGCTGATGACAATAGCTCACATTTAGAGTGGTTTCTATAGGCCTGCGCTTCCTATCAGTGTTCTTCCTTAACCTCCTCACAGCACATGTGAGATGTTTATCACTATGATCACCCTCACCTTGTGAGAAAACAGGCTCTGATGAAGTCATCTATTTGCCTAAGGTCTCACTGCTAGTTGTCCATTTCCAAGTATAAAGTCAGGATTTGAAGCCAGGTAGTTTGACTATGGAGCCAATGTCTATATTAAGCACTTCTCTATATTTTTCATATTGTTATTAAAATGCAAACTCATTAAAATAATACGGTATTTTTTCATGTAAATGATGGTATATTAGGACTATAAACTATAACTCCATATTTTAGGAAACAGAGGCACAAGGTCCTTTTCTTTGCACCCTATATAACCAGAATCCAGGCAACAACCATTCCTCATCTTTTAAACCTTCCTGGTTCTTACACTAACATATCCTTAACACACATGATTTCCATTTATCATAAAACAAAACCATGTTCCTATTACTTGGAATGATTTTCTTCCCTTTTTCTGGCAAATTTATCTTCATTCTGTGAAGCCCAATTCAATTGTCACCTACTCCCTGAAGCCTTTTCAAATAAACTCAGAAGGAATTTCATTTTCACTGCTCTGTCTTACAAGCAATCGAAAGATGCCCTAATATAGTCTTTTTGTTTGCAATTGTTTATGTGCCCGTCTCCCCACTAGATTGCAATAACTTCAGGACAAGCACTTTGCGTGTTCAACTCCCCAGCGATCAGGCATTGAGGAAAACTTCAAAAACTGCTATTGGACTGCAAGTTTGAGAGGCATGCCTGAGGGCAGTTTTCCATTCTTCTACCTGGCGTGGGCGACTGCTGGTGGACTTCCAGTTCTCTCCGTGGGCACCTTCTTCCAGATTAGGAATCAGAACGAATTCCTTATTCTTGACATAGGATTTATTGAGTATCATGGATGGTTACTTCACTAAATTAAGTCTTCCTTTAGGGTCATAATTGTCATGTGTTTTTTCGCTACAAGATCAAGATCAGATGAAAGACAGGAGCATACACATAAGGCAGAGATATCAGACCGTATTATGGCCTTCAAAGGAGAGTTTCATGCATATTTGCGCTTTACCTCCCAATTAGACGGGTTAGGTGTGAACAAGTTCAGTGCTGCCTCTCCTGGTAGTATATCAAGTTGTTCATTTCCAAGTATAACAGACCTCATCAGAGATCAGAAGAAGAGCTAATCCAAGGTTTGCTTCAGAGTTCCATTTCTTTTCCAAATTGATCTTGGCTTCGACACAGCTCCCATTCACTTTTAAGAGCTATGCAATGTGAATTGTGGGCTTCTAGTATGTTACATAACTCCCACACCCCTGCAAAGTCCTTATGAAAAAGTCTTTTTTGCTTCATATGCCTTTGCATTTATGGTTGCTGGGAATGGAGTGGCTTATACTCAGGATAACATACCATAGAAAAATTTCTCTTTTATGTTAGCATTTCTAAGTTGCTGATTTCACAAGACCACTTGAACGGTTTGGCTCTAGAAGGTTGCTTTGGTATTTGTTTAGTATCAGTCATTTGTTATTTTGAGCAAATACTATCTAGGTTCTGCAATGTTTAAAAAGTTGAAATATTCATATACAAATAATGTTTTCAATGGGTGTGTTTCCATGTTCTGAAGTGCTGGGGTGCTATGGCAGTAAGCATAGGATGACTCACTAATGGAATGTACTATGGATTTTATAAACATTTGTCCAGAAACAGACAGTTGAAGTGCATTTTCTCTCTTACCCACAATGCTTGCATTATGGACACGGGAGTACAAATCAATTTCTCCCTGAAGATTTTCAAGTAAGAAATCTGATTCATTCCTCCTTTTCACTATTGTTTCCTCCAGGTCTTGAAATTCATATACTGTTTTCAGTTGTTCACCTAGATGCATGATTTGTTTCCTATAGGAGAAAATGAGAGTAAGCATGGTGAAGCTTGTATTACATTTGATAGATGGCCCTCATTATTAGGCAATTACCTCAAAATTAGAATGCATTTCCCCACCAAATGAAAATTAGTTTATGGCTTATCTCTTTCTTGATAACTGGGATATTTCATTGCTCACTTAAAAAATGATCAGACCCCAGGGTCTAGCAGAATAAAAAAGGTTTTGAATCTTTCAGTATCAACTGTTTATACTTATTCTGTCTCCCTTTGCTTTTGGGTTTTCAAAAACATGTATTCAAACATGGCTCATTTAGATCAGTCTAAGAGAGCAAATCTGCATTCAGCTCTCAACACACAGCCCCTGCCCAGCCAAGGGGAAATATCAGTTCTTCATTTAGAATAAGTCTGCTTCCAGCAAGGCTCCTTTTAGTGCCACTTCTGTACATGGTCTTAACTTTCAATGATCACAAGTGACAAGGAGGGTCCTTGTTGGCGAGTGTACCTTGTGTGTTTTCATTTGCCATCACCTTCTTCTCTGATGCTGCAAACTAAGATGAACCCGAAGAGGCCCACACCAAGACACATCATAATTAAAATGCAAAAGGTTAAAGACAAAGCAGCAAGAGAGAAGCAGTTTGTTGCTTACAAGAGAGCTCCCATCAGACTATGAGCTGATTTTTCAACAGAAATTTTGTAGGCCAAAAGGGACTGGCATGAAATACTTGAAGTAATGGAAAGTAAGGACCTCCAACCAAGATTACTTTACCCAGCAAAGCTATAATTTAGAATTGAAGGACATATAAAGAGCTTCCAAGATATATATATATATATATATATATATATATATATATATATTACATATATATATATATAAAAGCTAAAGAAATTCATCACCACCAAACACTATTATATATAATAATCTATAATAATAAAAGCATAATATGCTAATTAGACCAGACATCCTTCAGGACATCCTTCCGGGATGAATCTGGGGCTGCAGCCCTAGCTGCAAGGGAGGGATCCAGGCAATTGTGGCTGTGAAGGCCTACTCTTGCAGGAATTTTGTGGATTGAGCCTGTAGTCCTATATACTGTGTTTCCCTGAAAATAAGACATCCTCTGAAAATAAGACCTACGGTACTTACAGGTTTCCTTCTGAGTGAAATATAAAGCATCGCCCGAAAATAAGGCCCCCCCTAGGCTAAACATGAGAGATTTGGTCCACTGATTCTGAAAGAAATGGAGTCACAAGAAATTCACCAGGAAATTCAGGAATTGGATTGCTATGATGATGTTCCAGAAGATGATGACATGATTGTCATTGAATAAATGAGTAAATTCTTGATACTGTAGGATTCACAGTTTGTCTGGTTTGTGTTGACAACTACCGTACTACCATACCGTATACAGATAATAAATTTCCTTTATTTTCATTTAACAATAAATGTGTACCATATTCTTCTTCATGGAAAAATAAGACCTGGCGCATCTTTGGGGGCAAAAATTAATATAAGACACTGTCTTAATTTTGGGGAAACAGGGTAATAAAAGGATAATATGCAAATTGTCCCTTCAACCAGGGGTGGGCCCAGTCCACCAGCTGCCCGGGGCCTCTTGCGCCTGGCCCTAATTGGGGTGGGTTGGCTGGACCCCACTCATGCACGGATTCATGCACCAGGCCTCTAGTAAAAAATAATAAAGGGTTTTCTTTAAGAAGAAGAAGAAAAAGGATAAAAATATGAATAGTAAAATGACAATAACTAGTTTAAATGTAAATAGATTAAATGTTCCAATCTAAAAATGTACCATGGCTGAATGGATAACAAAACAAGACCCTTACTTATGTTGTCTACAAGAGACTCACTTCAGATTGAAATATACACACAAACTGAAAGAGAAAGGATATTTCATGAAAATGAAAATGAGAAAAAGCTGGGATAGCAATATTTATACCAGACAAAACAGACTTTAAAATACAGGCTATAACAAGAGACAGCCAATGACCCAGCAATTCCACCTCTGGGTATTTATCTGAAGAAATCCAAAACACTAAATTGAAAAAACATATGCTTTCATATGTTTATTGCAGCATTATTTACAATAGCCAATATAAGAAAGCAATCTAAGCGTTCCTTAGATGAATGGATAAAGAATGGATAATGGAGACATATTTCATTATATATATAATGAAATATGTCTCAGCCATAAAAAACAAATAAAATTTGCCACTTGCAACAACATGGATGAACCTAAAGGGTGTTGTGCTGAGTGAGATATGTGAAACAGAGAAAGAAAAATATAATTTGATTTCACTTATATGTGGAATCTGAAAAACAAAATAAACAAACATGCAGATTGGTAACAGACTTATACAGAGGACATTTTGATGGTTGCCACGTAGAATAGGATTAGGGTAGTGGTTGGCAAACTGCGGCTCACAAGCCACATGCGGCTCTTTGGCCCCTTGAGTGTGGCTCTTCCACAAAACACCACTGCTTGGGCGAGTCTATTTTGAAGCAGTGGCATTAGAAGAAGTTCAAAAGAAATTTGGCTCTCAAAGGAACTTTGAATCGTTGTATTGTTGATATTTGGCTCTGTTGACTAGTAAGTTTGCTGACCACTGGGTTAGGGTTATGGGTGAAAAAAGTGAAGGGATTAAGAAGTACAAATTGGCAGTTAAGAATTGTCATGGAGATGTAAAGTACAGTATAGGGAAGATAGTCAATAATATTGTAATTACTATAATATGTATGGTGTCAAATGGGCAGTAGATCACATAATAAGTTATATAAGTGTTTAATCATTGTGTTGTATACCTGAAACTAAATTAATAATGTATGTCAACTGTAATTTAAAAATAAAAATTATTTTTAAAAAAGAGACAAATATAATTACCAGTCTATTAACTGGATTTATTATCCTATTTCTCTAGTGTTATCACACATTTAAGTACATTTTCTAAACTGAAGGCTGTTAAAGTAGAAGTTAAGATAAATCAGGAACTTCACTATTTATTGCTTGAGCACAAATCTTACCGAACAGAGTCATGATAATCCTTGACTTTTAAGAATTCCCCAGATGAGAAAACAGGATGTTTTAAAATCCTTTCTATTTCAGACATGTTCTCTCCAAGGCCTTTGAAGTCAGCCTCACAGACAGGCAGGGTCTCTCTTTTATCTTGCATGTTAGCAGCCAGCCTAATTAACCCTTGCACTGCACTAGAGAGGGAAGAAATGGTGTGGTCCCATTGATCAAAGCATGAGTGACACCGAAGACAAGCAGGGAATTCCTGGCCATGACCCCGTGCGCAGTGGTCACACCGCTGGCCGCTGACACCTTCCCGGCAGTGACACATGCCAGTGTCCCGGTCACAGATGGGCTTCTGGGTACCTTCCCTGTTGCAGTCACATGCTAAAGAGAGAGAGAATGAACAGAGATGTCATCACCTGGTTTTTTGCTTATAACTAGCTCAAGAATAAAGACCTTGAGAATCTCCCCAATTCCCATTTCTAAGGTGAACACTTAAAACCAGTATAATTTCAGAGATCTGTGCAATGGTCATTAAAATGCAGCATTCTTCTTTTCATTCCACCAATGAATCAGTTTATAGTTTTTATATAGATACTAAAGGCCCAGTGCACGAAATTCGTGCAGGAATATGGTCCCTAGGCCTGGCCTACTACCAGGGCCATCTTCCCCAATTGCCCACAGCTGGCCCCGCCCCCTGCTGTCACCCACTCCTGGTTCCCTGTTAGCCACTGGGTAATCGGTGTCTGATGGCTGGGGGAAGGGACCAAGAGGTCGCTGTTATCAACTGCTCCCTGCCTTTGCCCCCACTGCAGGTCGCCCTCTGTGTGTGGGCAACCTGTGGGGCGGGGGCCTCAGCCTGGTGGCACCCACGTCCCCTATCACCCAATCCCAGTTCTCCCTTCCTCTCTGAAATCAATAAAAAAAAATATATTTTTAAAAAAGGGAGAAGAATAAATTTGTCTTAATAAAGAACACACCACCCTATGCTACATGCATTTTAGTTAACTCGATTTTTGTATTTAAGCCTAAGGATGGAGGATGGGAGAGCTACTGAAGTTACTTCAGTTTCCAAAAGGCCAGGGGATCACTAGCCTATGCCATTGCACGAATTGTAAGGAACAAGCGAATTAAAAATGCATTTGCCAGCTTGAATAAAGGAATGCCAGTTACAAATAAAGACTGATTAACACATTAGGCCCCTCCACTAGACATCTGTCTGGCAGGTTTGCTTTGGTCCAGAGGCCAGGGGGTGGCACCAAGTCACACCCCCAGCTGGAAGCCAAGGCTCCCCCTAGCTAACCATTCTTCTCCAGGAGTTTTAGTGGAGTCTGCGGCTTTAGTTGACCATTTGCAAAGTTTTCTCTATAAGAGACGAAAGCATTTTTATAAAATGAGACTGCTGAAATATTAAAGGGACCCAAGGAAAGGAACTCTGGAAGACAGATTTTTCCAAGAACCAAAATTTCTCCCTGGTTTTTAAAGTAGTAATTCCACTTAGAAAACTGCGTGGGACTGGGGAAAACCATCCAGAATATATATTTAAGTGGGACAAGAAAATGCAGGCTTTTGTGTGTGTGTGTGTGTGTGTGTGTGTGTGTGACAAAAGCACATTTATGAAAAAATGGAAAGGAGGAAAGAGGTACAATATAAGTAGAGGTGACACGATGATAAGCCCATCACATGTGTGATTTCTTGGGATTGACTTCTTTTTGGAAGCTGACTTTAAATAGAGATGCAAAAACATCCTTTCTCCTAGGACATAATCCAGACATTAAACCTGTCCTTCCAATAAAATAGCTACTCACCACACCTGGCTATTGAGAGATTTAAACAAATTCAATAAAATAAACTATTGTTTTTGTCACTTGCCACATTGCAAATGCTCAACAGCTACACGTGGCTAATGGCTCCTACACTGGATGGCGCAGACGTAGACACTTCCATCTCTGCAGGAAGTGCTATTAGATGCACTTGTCTGAGTCCTGCGAACACTGAGACATGGCAGGAGAGGCACTAGAACGCACGCTCCATGTGGTTAGGGCCTGTCTTACATGTTCACTTCCTAGAGTACGCAGTAGGCACTCTAGGAACGTTGTAGAGTAGATGAGTAAGTGATTATGTGGTAGGCCCAGAGTTATGAGAGCCACGTTGAGGAAGCCTCTGCTGGATTCCTGGGAGCCGTAACCCAGCCTGTAATTCACTCCAGAGTAGCATGTCAACATGCTTCCAAAGAGCAGAAATTGGATACCAGTTCTGATTTCACAGGCCTGTTCATTTTAATGACTTTGAGGAATGTTAATATAGGCTACAAGTTTGAATCTAGGCTAATATTTAATACGGCCTAAAGTTTTAGTACAGAAGAAAAAAAAATCTTTCTTTTTATAGGGCTACAAAAAAATATTTTCAAAATGGAATTAAACTTTTTTAGTTTTCTAGAAAATAAAGGAGTTTGAAAGTCAGTTGGTTCATAGCATGCTCGTGGTAGGACTAGATTGGCTGTACTCATGCTTTTATTTTTATTTTTTTAATATATTTTATTAAATTTTTTTACAGAGAAGAAGGGGGAGAGATAGTTAGAAACATTGATAAGAGAGAAACATTGATCAGCTGCCTCCTGCACACCCCCTACTGGGTACATGCCCACAGCCAAGGTAATGCCCTTGACCAGAATCGAACCTGGGACCCTTCAGTCCGCAGGCTGATGCTCTGTCCACTGAGCCAAACCGGTTAGGGCTGTACTCATGTTTTTAGAAATAGCAATACTTACGGATACATCGCCCAAGTGGATCACTATAATAATTTTCCTGGCACTCACTGCAGCGTTTCCCACTGTAGCCTAATTTGCACGGACACTGGCCTGTAACCTGTGAGAACATTCATGGGTGAGGAATTGACAAGCTTTCTGATCTTAAGAAAAAAGACGAATTTTAATAAAAAACAGTTTTCCCTCCAGTGAGTTAGAACATTCAGCTGTGCAAAGTCAGAGGAAGGATGATTCCCACGGCCAGCACCCACCCCTGACAGTACCAAGGATCAGGAGTTAATGTGTTTTGGCTTAGGGCTCTTGAATATACCGCCTGCTTCCAGCTGTTCAAGGACAGGTGGCCCCAAACTGGGAAACATACACAGATGTAAATGAAAACAAAACACATAATGGGAAATGGGCCACATTCTTTTCCTCTGCAGTTATGGGAGTTTCCCCAAAACACAGAGCGGCTAAAGACCTGGACTAACATTCATCAATTAATTTGGCAAATAATGTTTCCATGATGAAATGTCCGATGGAGTTTCTCCCAGTTGGGACAGTGTTTTGCTCAACAAACATTTTTTTTTGCACTTGAAATTTGATCATTTAATAATAGTTATTTAGCTGTGTTTTGGGAAGCGGGGTTGAATGTTTTTGTACCATCCCCATCGGATTCTTAACCATCTTTTTTGAAAATTGAGGAGGCTGCAAAATTAACAAGATAAAAATATAGAAGCAAATCACTAGTATAGTGGCCCTAGGTTATACGAACCAAATTGGCTTAAACAACTCTACCAGTATCTTCCAGTGAGTAAGTAGCTTGATTACCAAAGTGACTGCATCGACTATGTTGCTACCCATCTTTGGAGTAACCACTAGCTTCTGTTCAAATGTAGAGAGGTAAGGGGCCCTTGTTGCTCATGAAGGCTGTCATAATGCTGGTTGTCCTTGATTGTTGGGCAATGCTTGATAAAACTGATGTATAATCTGCTCCTTGTAGCTTGCCCCATTGTTCTGAAGCCTGTCTTACGGTTGCACAAAACTGGCAGCCTCCCTCTTTCCTCTTTCAGTCCTCTTCCCAACTGTAGATAGTCATTTGCAACTTGTGTTTGCTGCTCTTCTTCAGGCTGACCACCCCTAATTTCTTCAAGCCTTCATCAGAGAGAAGCATGGTTCTATGCCACTATCCTGTTGTCTTCTTTTGGACACATATTAGTTTGCTAATATAACGTTTGAAATGTAGCACTCAGAAATGACAACTATACTCATGGAGCCATTTGGCTAGTACAGAGGACAGTGGGTGGGACAAAGACTGCCCTGAACCTGGGTATACTCCCCCGCCCGCCGCCCCCCCCCCCCCCCCCCCGCCTACTCCAGCCTGAATGGGCATCGCCTCCTTGACAGCTCATCCACACAGCTGGCTCACTTGAAGCACACAATGAAAATCCTCAAGTGTTTTTTCGCATGAGCTGGTGCCAAGTTATTACTCTCACCCAATATTTATGCAAATTTTAAAAACACAATTGCAAAATCTCACTTGTATCCCCTTAATATCTCATCTTGTTTCCAGACAACAAGACAGCCTGTGAGGATATCTTGTCTCTTGTTCTGTCTTTATCACATTAGCTTACAACTTTGCAATATCCACAAATCTGATAAGCCTGTTTCTCCAACTCCGTCTTAAATTGTTGATGAAAATGCTGGATGGCACGTTTGGATCTCTCTGCAAGAAGGCACTGGGGACCGCCTTCTGGCTGAGATAGAGGAATTTATCACAGTTGCTTAAACAGCTGAGAACTTAAACATTCTTATGTGTCCTCTGTGCTCGAGGGAAAGTGTTTTCTTGTTGTAAAGAGCAGCCTTCCCCTAGGAGTTCCCTTTGGGTCAGACAACCCCAAATCTTCTTGTTGTAAGGGGCTCTTTGGTTAAACCAGCACCATCTGACTTTCAGCTTCACAGGCTTCCCTCAATCTCCATGACTGAACTGCTCTCTTTGTGGAGGGCTGCTACAACTATGCTTCCCAAAAGGTCTAAGAAGCATGCCAGAGAGTGATGCCATGAGCATTAGGGGTTCCTCCTGAATTAGGAAGTCAAGCTGTCATGTGGAGATCTACCAATTTGTTCCACGTTTGGCAGTTGCGGGTGTGAGGCGTGGAGGGGAGCCCATAAACAGACATGGTCATCGGGTGCCCAGGTCTTGGTTTCTAGTGCCATTCCTCAACTACAGGAAACAGCACTTCTTGAAGAAATGGCTGATTCTAGAAAAGGGGCAGGAAATAGACAAGATGAGCTTAGTAACTTTAAAGTATCTTGCCTGGTCACAGTGGCTCCCATGCGAGGTCCGGGAGTCACAGTCACATGGCTGGCATCCTCTGCCAGGGATGAGATTCCAGTATCCATCAGCGCAATGGTCACAGGTCCGCCCCGTGACGTTGGGCAGACACGGGCATGTGCCAGAGTCTGGGTCACAAATGCAAGCTCCCTGGTTAGGTGGACACTCAGAGGTATTCACGCCAGAAGGATGACAGGAGCATCCTGAGATAACAAGAGGTAAATTCAGTGACAACACTAGCTTTCAACAACCCATGCAAACATAGAGACTTGTGTTATTTCTCCAAAGGGCTCAATACCTTACACAGTACAGAATTTATCAAAGAATTAAGTAGGTTGTACCCGTTCAACTGTTGTTGATCACCCAGAGCAGCAGTTTCATATGGTTGTGACTACTGTGTTCGAAGAGCTCACATAGTACACTGAAAGACTGCAAATCTCACCATTTCCCTCATGACATTCACCCAAGTTCCGTTTATGTGAAAGATCTGAAACCAAATGGTTTACTAAATTGGGTGAACTGAAATATCACCCAACTGTTATCTCCTTAAAAAGGGAAGTTTAATTCTCCTCTTTCTTTATTCTAGAATTAAACCTATGTCCTCTTCTACATCAGTGATTCTCGTATTTATACATTAAAGTCATTTGATGAGCTTGTCACAATGCATATTCGTGCATCTCACTCCCAGAGTGTCAATTCCATGGATCTGAGGTACAGAGTAGGAATCTGCATTTTAATGCCTCATCCCCACCCCTAAATGACTCTGGCTCAGTGCACATTAGGCCATCCTCAGAGGAATAATGCTCAAAATCCACTAGAGCAATAGTCAGAGAAGGCAAACTAATGACACCAGTGAGTGTATTATAGCTGCACCCGTTTCTGCTGATGAGTGCAGTGTCCAAGCCCATCACCCAGAAGGTGCTGACACCCCAGGCCTAACTGAAACGGGCATGGGAGAGCTGCTACAACACTCATGAGCTTCTGCTCTGCCGCCACAACCCCCCAGCCCTCCCCCCCAGGAGCCTTGCAGACTTACTTTGGCAGGTTTGATTGAGGGCTGACCCAAAGTAACCTGGTCGGCAAAGCTGGCAGTTTGGCCCCTGCGTGTTGTGCAGACATTTGAGGCATTCCCCTGTTACTCGGCTGCAGGCCTCTGGATCAGTAACATCAATGTTGTTGTTGCAGACACATGGCTGGCAAGGTGCTCCAGAAATTCTGGGATTTCCATAGAAACCAGAAGAACATTCTTCACACTGCTTACCTGAACGATGGAGAGAAAAAAGGGAATGAGGTGATAGAGGTGCGTGCGTGCGTGCGTGTGTGTGTGTGTGCGTGTGTGTGTGTGTGTGTGTGTGTGTGTGTGTGTGTTTGGGGGGGGTGAAGGGGGTGGAGATTGGTATAAATAGAGAATAATTGGGCAACTCTAGGGATAATGAGGGTCACACATTAAGGATGAATAAATAAAAGTGTTCTAATTTAAAACAAAACATTCATTTTAACTTATTATTCATTCAGAGGGTAAAATGATTATCCAGGGCTGAAATGTCTTTGGTGATGAATGGATTCTGGTCTTTCTTAAAACCTGAGTTGTGAGCACAGACCTCTGGATCCTTATAGAATCAGGGTCAAAATAGTGTACCCCAGGGCTCATCCAATCTGGTCGTGGAGGGGGAACAGCAGCAGCCTGAGATAGGTGTCTAGCAGTGAGGATGGCTGAGAGTAGTTTCCTCGATATATGAGCCTAAGAGGGTGCTCTTACTGAGCATTGGATGGAGAAACCATCTCTCTCTCCTTTACTATTTGCCCATCCAACCATGAGGCAACTGCACTTGTTTAGGTGTCCAAACTGTGGGTCTACTCACCACATTTTGGTTCATCCCATTTAGAAATGCTCTGGGAGCCAAGTTCTTAAAAAAAAAAAAAAAATGGCTAACTAAGCCCTGGCTGTTTGGCTCAGTGGTTAGAATGTTGGCCTGCGGACTGAAGGGTCCTGGGTTCAATTCCAGTTAAGGATACAAGCCTGTGTTGTGGGCTCAATCCCTAGTGGGAGGCGCGCAGGAGGCAGCAAATCAATGATTCTCATCATTAATGTTTCTATCTCTTTCTCCCTCTCCCTTCCTGTCTAAAATCAATACAAAAATGGTCAACCAAGCCAAAGTGTACAGAGAGAAGAAACTATTAAGAGAAAAGACAAGTAACAGATGTGTAACCATAGAGATAATAAAAATATTATTCATGTCATTTATTATCATTATGGTAATTATCACTGAAGAAAATATGAGCACTATATTTCTAAGTGTGATTAAATCAAGTGGACTTCATAAGTTTTTTTTCTTTGTTTACATTAGATGTTTACACTCATGCTTAAACTATGCACAATACAATTATTTTTTATATATATATTTTATTGATTTTGTACAGAGAGGAAGGGAGAGAGATAGAAGGCTAGAAACTTTGATGAGAGAGAGTCATCGATCAGCTGCCTCTTGCACACCCCCTACTGGGGATATGCCCGCAACCAAGGTACATGCCCTTGACCAGAATTGAACCCAGGTCCCTTCAGTCCCCAAGCCGACGCTCTATCCATTGAGCCAAACCGGTCTCGGCACAATACAATTATTGAGCAACAGATACAAATATTAACTTATGCAGTCTCCATTCAATGCTCAAATTAGTGCTTCCAGACTTCTGAAAAAATTAGTTGTATCTGTAAAATGCCAGTCAAATTGATTGGTCAGAATTATACGAAGAAAACATTGGACTGGTTATTATTTACTTTATAACTGCTTATGTTATACCTAATGTACTGTATCACATATATTTACTTCATCACATATATATCTTAACAGGTGATGATTTTATTTTAAATAAATTAATTTGATATAAACTCATTTGGTCAGTTAGTTTTCCAAAATGATAATAAAATTTATAGCTCAGTGGGATGAATTTTAAATTGTCATCGGTTTTTGAATCATTCAAATTCTTTGTTTCTAAAGCAGCAATTTACCACATTGTGTCTTCTTTTTTATTTTTAATTTTTTAATATATTTTATTGATTTTTCACAGAGAGGAAGGGAGAGAGATAGAGAGCTAGAAACGTCGATGAGAGAGAAACATCGACCAGCTGCCTCTTGCACACCCCCTACTGGGGATGTGCCCGCAACCAACGCACATGCCCCTGACCGGAATGGAACCTGGGACCTCCCAGTCCGCAGACCGCAGACGGACGCTCTACCACTGAGCCAAACCGGTTTCGGCCACATTGTGTCTTCTTACCATTAACTTATATCCTGCAACATTCATTGGGCCAAGGTAGATAAATTATTAACATGGGATTACTTTTCAGATAGCCCTGTGAAATAGAAGCAAAACAACCATCACAAAGTCTCCTGCCTACCTGTATAACCTTGAGCACAATTGCAGATTACATCTGAGTTCCAAGGATTCCGGTAACAGGAATGGGCAAAGTACTGATTGCTCGAGGGAACATCTGGACATGGGCAAGGATGGCAGGGCTGTCCTGAAGAAGGATTTCCATAGTAACCATCGATGCATCTGTCAAGGCAATTTATTTTCACCAAAACGTTCCCAGGAAAAGCTTACATGTTAGCCAGTGTGCATTTGCTATGCATTAGGACCATGCAGCTCTGGAGACTCAATTTTTTAGAAGATGCTTTTTTGCTCTACAAGAGGATTTTTTGCTGTTGAAAGTCCCATGGTATAGTCATTAAACTCCATACAATAGCACTCAATTTTAGTGTCCTATTTCAGGAATATAAAAAAGCAAGGAGCCAGGCAAATGCTTGTTAATAAATTAATCAGACACTCTCTGGTTTATAACAGATTTTGAAGGATGACAGAATGACCTTATCTTCCCACCCACAAGAACCATTCAATACTGTTAGTATCTACTCAGGGGTCATTTGGAGAGTGTTGCAAGATTGGAACAAAAGAAAAAATTAAAAATAAAAGTACAGCCAGCCAGCATGGCTCAGTGGTTGAGCACTGATCTAAGAACCAGGAGGTCATGGTTCATTTCCTGATCAGGGCACATGCCCGGGTTGCAGGCTTGATCCCCAATGTGGGGTGAGTAGGAGGCAGCCGATCAATGATTTTTTTATCGTTGATGTTTCTATCTCTCCCTGTCCCTTCCTTTTCTGAAATCAATAAAAATACTTTTAAAAATAATAAAAATCAATAAAAATAAAAGTACCATACACATGAATTCCATACCTTTCACAGTTTCTTCCAGTTGTAAACCCCCCACAATTGACGCATAATCCTGTTTCTGGGTCACAAAGCTCAGTGAACGAATTACAAAGGCACGGTTGACAGTTGGGAAATCCAAAATAGCCCTGCAGGCACCCATCACAGTGGCGGCCAGCCACCTCTTCCCGGCAGGGGCACTGTCCGGTGATTTGGTCACACACAGTGCTCGTTGAGCCTTGAGGGTGGCAGTGACACACTAGATAAAGCAAAGAGAACATGGTGGGTGGGGGTTGGGGGGTCGATGGTATGCTGGTGGAAGTGGTACCGTCCTGACTCTGCCCTCCCTAACTTAGCAGCTCACTCCCATCAAGGTGAGTAGAGGGAGTCTCTAAAGTGCCTGGAGCAGAGCCTGGCACAGAGCGAGCACCAGGTAACTGTTGGTAAAATAGCAACTCACCAATTCATTCAACAAACAGTAAGCTGTGAGCAACTGGGTTTGATAAGTGTTGTTTATACAGAGGAACTGAACAAGTAATGTGCTCCTAAGGATGACTTGGACTTCCATATATCTTTGGAGTCAGACTTTAAGACTATAAAAAATGTAAGAGACCCCTCTCAAAACTGTCACATTTCCTTTTTCCTTGACAAGATAGTAAAGGGTCAACCCTCTCCTGCTACATTGTTGAATTACTTGATCTTTCCTATAAAAAAAAATGTAATGCCTGTTTGGTTTACAGGGTGCTACATGGAAATATATATATATTCCTTTGTGTATATTTCCATAAACAATTAAAAAAAAAAAAAGAGCAGTGATGATCCAGCTGGCATGACTCAATGATTGAGCATTGACCTATGAACAAGGTCAAGTTTTGATTTCCCATCAGGGAATATGCCTGAGTTTTGAGCTCCATCCCCAGTAGTGGGCGTGCAGGAGGCAGCTGATTAATAATTCTCTCTCATTATTGATATTTCTATCTCTCTGAAATCAATTAAGAAAAAAAAAGGTGGTGATGGACCCACGCTGTTTGATGGGCAGTTTGTTAGCCAGGCAATGACCAGGAAGGTGTGCCATCTCTCCGAATCATGACTGACAAGCTGTTTCCCTCCCTGAAAGGAGAATTCATGTACCTGGTGGTTTTCATGGTTCCTAAGACAGGTTTCTGTGGGGAACAGTATCACTAATGTGTGTTTTTTTTTTATGTTCCAATAATTTTTTTTTTTTTTATAAAATATTGTAGATGACCAGCCTGAAGGCAGTTGGTTACAATCCCCTGGTTTAGGTTAATCAAGATTTATAATCCTGAGGAAGGGAATGGGTCAGAAGCTATTAATGATGTGAGCAAATTGGTATTCATTAACATAGAAGCAGGGGGTGGCAAAGTTTCACTAATGGTTTACATCGTAGAATAGAGAACTACATACGTCGACACGTAGGATAACTGAATTTACTACCGTGGGTAAAGCCCCACCCAAGTCCTTTGTAAAGGGCAGATTATAAAATGAGTTCCGAGACTTTGCAACCCCAGCATCAGGAAGCATCATATCTTGGTCACAGTGTTGGCCCCTTCCTCAACTTCCCCATCTCACCCTTGTTTTGGCCTTTCCAGCCACTGGCTTACGGACCAAATCCCACAGCTGCGTCTGCACAGCTAACTCCCTTCATGATGTCCCACAGCCTACCTGAGTACCATCTATTTAATACAGACTGTAAACTGTAACCATGATTTCCTCATCACTCACACTTCCTTACAGAGCTCTGCACACTCAGTGCCCAGTGAACGAATAGATGAAGGACGGTAGAAAAAAATTTCAATTCATTTTATCTACATAGACAGTCTGAGTAATGTAGTCAAATTCCCACTCTGCTCCCCTTTTAGACTCCACACATCCATTTTCCTCCCTTCGAAACTCCAAGGTTGTGAACAAGAGCACCTGTTTTCTGTTACCCACAGTGACAGCCGTGCTGCCCCAGGCCGTAGCTTCCTGCGGAGCATCTGTCACAGCGCCGCCCGGTCACATGGGGCTTACACGGGCACTGGCCTCCGAGTGGGCTGCAGACAGGCCCCACCGAGCCCTGGGGGTGACACTGGCAGGCTGCAGGGAACGAAAGAACGATGTTAGCGGTGAAGCAAGTGACAGAGAAGCACCTCATGCTCGCAGTGGCTTTGCTTTACCTCTCTTTCGTGTAGTACCTCGCTAGGCCTTAATCCCTTCTCTGTGAAAGGGGGATAATGTGGGATTATGGGGATTAGAGGTGATAATGTTTATGAAGTACTTAGAACAGTGCTAGGCATCTAATAAATGCTCAATAAACATTACTTAAATATAACAACGATAAGCATTACTTAAGTTAATGAAAGGCTTAAAATAAGTTGTTTTAATAATTAATTGTTCCAATTTAGTTATTATTCTTGATATTATTATTATTACTTCAATTCCCGATGATCTATGTAAGTGCTGGTCTATACCTTTGAATTTTCTTATTCCATACTTTTCATGAGATTATGGACAGCCTGAAGACATAGCCCTTCAGGGTAAAAGTAAAAGCATTTGCCAGGGCCAAGCCAGTGTGGGTCAGTGGTTGAGCATCAACCTGTAACCAGGAGGTCAAGGCACATGCCTGGGCTGTGGGCTTGATCCCCAATAGAGGGCATGCAGGAGACAGCCAATCAATGATTCTCACTCATCATTGATGTTTCTATCCCTCTCTCCCTCTCCCTTCCTCTCTTTGAAATCAATAAAAACATAGGCTTTTGTTTTGTTTTGTTTTGTTTTTGTTTTTAATGCCTGGAACTTAGGAAGATCAGGGTCTCACTGTAGATATCAACTGGGGGGAATTTTGCCCCTAAAGGACATATGTCATAGTTTGCAGACATTTTTGAATGTCACAACCAGGGCAAGGTAGGTAGATGATAAAGACGTTGCTAATCATCTTACAACGTACAGGACAGACCTCACCCCATCCCCACAACAAGGTATTATCCAGGCCAAAATTTGGAAACTACTGAGGGTGAGAAACCTGCTCCAAACGTAGTGCAAAATGGGCAAGTAATGTTTTTAGACCCTAATGGTGTCACTGAGTGGTTTGGGGATGAAAGAAGTTGTTTAGAGTTCATTTCAGACCTAAAGTCCCAGGATTCTAAATAGATACACTTTTAGGACTATTATTCCGGAAATCTATTGTAGCATCTTAATGCTACTACTACAAGGCTCCTCTTTCTATACAGTTCCTTTACTGCACATTCTGATTCCAACGCATCAACAGCTTGCTGTGTGTATCTAATCATTGGGCAAGATTGGCTGTTTGGAAGAGATGCTAAAATAAATTACGTTGATTCACTCATGTTCCAAAAAGCATTTTTACGAGTATCCATGCTTCAGGGGAGCCTCCTAAGGGCTACTCACCCACTGCCCCATCGTGCAGCCTGGCAGACACGCTGACAATAAGCCTTTCACAGGCGCCGGGGAGCACCTGGGCTCCTGGTTCTGAGGCCATTTCCACACAGGAGTGCAGCTGGTGTCCCTCCAAGTCCTGCTTGCTGTGGAAAACCTCCGGTGCATCGATTTGGGGGAGAAGACCAAGCTTTCGAAAGAACAAGAAAAGAAGACATGTTCATAGATTCCAGGTTTTTTTTTTTTTAAATAAGATCCATATATGAGAGTAATAACTAAAAAGGTACTAAATTCTGTTCTTTAAATTGCTTATGACTAAATATTTTATGATTTTCAACTTCTTTAAGAAGCCTTCAACTCTATATTTTCATTGATGGATCCATGGCAAAGAAGATAAACGAGCCTGTATCTTTTTAGGGTCCTTATTACTATGTTTTTAACTTGCTAATACATCTGTCTTAGGTTTAAAAGACTGTCAACTGTAGGCTACTTGTAATAAGAAATCATGGGCATTCCATAGTGTTAATGTGGTGTGGAAATCACTGCCTTAGTCTGTAATCATACAACGTGCAACTATTTTCTCCTGTTCTGTAAGATGTGCAATTGCTATTAGGTGACTTTTAGAGAGAATAGGTGATTTTTGGAATGAAACAAATACATTCAAGCTTCTCAAGAAACATTTCCCCAGAGAGTCTAAACGTGGGATGTTGACGGAGCTGTTTAGAAGGCAGCACCCACCAAGTAGCACTCTGTGGCACTTACAGAATCAACAAGGATGTGTGAATGAGCGTGGGACCCTCCTTCCACGGGCTGGGAAAAATAGACGTCTATGGAATATTGTACATCTGGTTCTAAACAGATGGGTGTGGGAAGCAGCACGACTCTGTATTAAGAGAAATAAAACAAAAATGCAATGACAAAAGTACAGTTATGTCATGGAAGGGACCCTGGGGTTTGGTAGCCTTCCACCTATGCTGCGATGTGGGGTGGACAGTAAACACAGACTCTCCACGGCTCTCTCACAGCGTGTACCAAAGAGCAAAGCCTTAGGAACCACTGGCTGTGGGTTGTCATGACTGCTGTGGGGAAAAGAGGATACAAATGTCCTTCATCCTAGCTGTCACGCTAGTATCAACAGGGTCTCTGGTTTATTTTGCCACAAATCTCTGATGAAGCAAAATTAGTAGCTTTTTACCTCACGGACTCTCAGCTGAGATAACTCAACTGAATATTTTACTCTTATTCTTGTAGCATTTCACTTTCTCACATCTCAAAGCCGTTGAGGGAATGGAAAAGGGTTAATACATCTCTTCTCCCACTCAGTTCCTGAATACAAGTTACTGATAGATGAATAAAATGCTGGGAAACCTTCGATGTTTGAGGACAGGTCCGGAGCGTACCTTGAGGTCGCTGGTAAGGCGAAAGACTGAGGCTTCTGCGGTGGGATCTTGCCTGTACAGTGCTCGCTGCCTCCAGGGGGGTTAACCACAATCTGGACAGCCCAGTCAGCTGAGGACTAGATAGGCAGGACATAAAAGCACATCATTGTGAGGATGTGGGAGCCTGTTTTGCATGCACAAACATATGTCTGATGAATACTGCATGGAATCGAATTTGTAACCCAGGGCCCATTTGGCAAGTAGAATTTTCTAGTTGAAAAAAGTCTTAGAGGTTCACTCTCAGGTCCAACTCCCTGGTGTCTGAATTATGACCCAGGTAGAGGCATATTGTTTCTGGTCATAGTTACAAAGTTCACGAGCTTGAAAGAACTCTGTTATTCCTGATACATCTCCCCTTTAACTCCTGCTTTCCAAAGCAGCAGTTAACTGATCATGTTCATAAATCATAGGACAAAAATAAAAAAATTGGAATTCTTCACAAAAGGAGATGTATTTTTTCACATTATTATGTAAATATTGATATATAAATATATTATATAAATTATATGATTTAGTTATTTTATTACCAGATATATTTATATTTGTTTATATGCCAATTAGCTATCCTCTGAAAACCTTACAATTTGGAAAAGCATTTTAAAGCTGTTAGAGATGTGCCTTCTCAATGGAAAAATTTATATATGTATATTTAACAACTTTCTTGTCATGCTCACCAGGTCAAAGTTCATTGAAGCCCCTTGGCTTTTGAGTGTAAGTGGGAAACAGAGAATTATGTCATATCAAGATTCTCAAAACGGATCAGCAGCTCTGGTCATAAGCACATAGTGAGCTTGTGACTTGGTCTCTAGAGTGACTTTGGAATCATCCTATTCCCCCCACACCCGCCATAGAAAATATTTTCAAGGGGAGATGGTCTGTGGGGGTTCAGATTATCAAAGAAAAGTTGATACAAAGAAAAGGTTAGAAGCTATTGCTTTAGATCAGGTACTTTCCTAATTTGTTCCCTAATCTGTTCTAGATACTTCTTTAAAGGCCAGGAAGGGTAGTAAGGCAATGGGAGACAAGGGGGCAGCCTGCTTCCAGCGTTTCTCTCCTTCCAGGGAAAGTACAAATGCAAATAACCGCTTCTGCTGCAGTCCTGGAGTCTGAGTCTCTGCACGATGTTAGTTTATTAAGTTTAGTCCCAGGAGAGGCAGGGTTTATGTTCTTTCAGTTATTTATTATTCTTATACAAACATTCCATCACCACTTCCTTAGATCGAGTGCCTTAAATATATAACTCCAGCTTTAGCGTCTCTCCCTGGAATAAAGCTTGTGTTCATACGGCTCACTATGTTGCTTTCATATCTGTAGGAAACCCTTTGGTGTGTAATGCTCTCCAGATGTTCTACTTCTTTTGCAAATACTTTGATGGTAAACATATCTAGCAAGACTGGGATGGAAACGTTTAGTGTAAGAATGTATTTCCATTTTCTACCATGTGAAAGCATTGGACTTAAAGGATACCTGAGTTTCATAGCGAATGGCCACGGTGAAGTCCATGGGAGAGGGAATGTTGTCGACAGTAAATCTTAAGCCAGTCCCGGGGAGAACCCTGGCAAATCCAGGCCCTGTCCACGTAACAGGCATCCCGGGAACTGGCTCTCGGAAAACAGCGGGAACGGCAGGCACCCGGCCAAAAGTCACTGAGCCCTAAAACCAGAGAGAAATGTCCATAAGCTTTGCTGATAGTCCAGGTCTGGAAAAGTTTGGAGGAAAAGAAAAGAAAAGAAACCCACATATTTCCATATATGATCCATCTGAGTCACGGATAAATTATTCCATCCAGGACCCAGGCCAGAATACAGCTGAGAATGGCGTGCTCGGTCTGCAGCTTGGGAACATATGTTACGTACAGGATGACTGATTTGAAAGCAGTGTCACTGGAAACCACCTTAACTTTAAGAACTCCGTGTGCTAATGCATTCAGCAAATTCCACAATGATGATGACCTTGGGCTTTCTCAGCTATGACTGTAGGATCCCGGCCAAAATATGGAAAGAAAGAAAAGATTCCCATGCCTACTTCATGGATTTTGCCTAAATGTCTGATGACAATGAGAAAACTCACATGTATTTATTTAGATAACTCTTCCATGCAAACGTGAGAAATGGTCTTCTCTCTGCTTGGAGGCAGATAAGCACAAAACTCACTCCCTTGATTGATTAACATCCCCAAAAGGCTCAGTATGAGATGTCAGCCTGGGGCCATCTGGATCCTGTAGATAATCTTTCTTTAATGGTTTTTGCATCTGCCTCTCCAAACTCACAGCCTCCAAGGGAATTCTGCCTCTAGTTGCTTTTGCCTGTATTGCTGCAACCCTCTCTTGGCTGTTCTCTCCATTCTCTCCCAAGTCCAAAACGTATTACACACCACTGCCAGCAAGCATTTCAAACTCTAACTGCCAAAAGAATCACGCCCAAAATACTTAGCCTGGAGTTCAAGTTGCCCTGTGATCTACCTCAAACTTCTCTTCCTTGGATACATGTTTACTTAGTAACAATTACATGTCAGCCTCTGCTTGGGTTGCTGGGGGGGTGTGGCCGGCCTGCAAACCACCACAGGCGCCCTCGCTCAGGCTGCCCCACGCCCCAAGGGAACCACCACTCTGATCCTGGAAACCCTTCAGGGCAAACCAGCTGGCCCCAACCGGTGCACCAGGCCTCTATCCTATCTAATAAAAGAGTAATATGCAGATTGAATATCACTCTAACACACAATAGCTGCCCCCATGTGATCAAAGATGGCTGCCTCCATGTGCTTCTCCAAGTGCTGTCATGGACCACCGTATCGGAATCACCTTGGGAGGTTTGGCAAACAGGCAGATTGCTTGACCAGCCTCAGGCTCAGCATCTCAAGGGGAAAGCCCTAGAACATGCATTCGAAATGAACTCCCAGGGTTACACTTGCACACAGTCAAACCTAGGCTGACTGGCCTGTGTCCCAGGGAGCCCAGGTCCTGGGCAGTGACAGCTTCCCACCCTTCTTCGGGAGGACTTCAGAATGAGAAGCCAGAGAAACAGAAGCAGGAGAGAGCCAGGCCACCACGACTGGCATGTGAGGACATACAGGGGGGAACAGCACAGCCCAGCCTTCGTGTACCCTGGCAGTGGTCCCTCAACTGAAGTCCATGTCATGTATGCACACCTCTTTTGTGTGCCTGGCCTGCCTGGCACACATGAGTTGTTTGTGCATATGGCTCATTTCCCAACCGCAATCTTAACGACAGGCTCCATGGCTAAATATTCCTGCTGCCATTCATTCAACCACTTCAGTCCCATAAGAAGGTCTCTCACATGAAATTAACCGTTTCAGGTGTTGGGTTTGTAAACAAGACAGCCAACATCTGTTTTTGTCTGCTTTTGCAACGTGCCCGCTCATGCACATGCACGAGGGAACTCTCAGTACAGATCCCGGCATGACAACTAAATGAAAGACATGGGCCTGGAGCAGTCCCGATGTTGAGTGGATAATGGTTTGCTGGCTGTGAGGTCCTCAGGCCCCTCCAGCCTTCTGACGCCACTGGAGCAGGGCCCCGGGGTCACACCAGTACGGACCGACGATAACCGCCTTGGCATCGAGGGCAAAGCCATGCACCATCCCAGGGACATCAGCAAGCTTCATTTCTCAAAGAAGGAGAGCCATTTCTCAGAACTGTACCTTTTTCTTTTCTTTTCTTTTTTTAAATATATTTTATTGATTTTTTTACAGAGAGGAAGGGAGAAGGATAGAGAGCTAGAAACATTGATGAGAGAGAATTATCGATCAGCTGCCTCTTGCACAACTCCTACTGGAGATGTGCCCACAAACCAAGGTACATGTCCTTGACCGAAATCAAACCTGGGACCTTTCAGTCCATGGGCTGACGCTCTATCCACTGAGCCAAACTGGTTTTGGCTGTACCTTTTTCTTACTAAAATTACAAGAAATGGTGAATTCACAGTACCTGAGACTGACCCTTCAGAATCCAGCTTTCCAGGGATTTTTGTTGTGAAAAGAAATAAAGCTATCAAAGTTTTACACAGGGGCTCTAACTACTTGGAGCTTGCCTGTTCCTTTCCTCCACTCTGTTCTTGGGGAGTACTGACTGAGCTCACACTGACTGGGTATTTACACGTACCAGGCACAGTTCTGGGTGCATCTGGGTTAGTGGTTGAAGGCACTACAGAAATGACCATGAAGAAATGGCTTACCTTGCTCTGCTGGTCAGCATGTACGCTCTGTTCCCGACTTCTCTTCAGTATTATATTTCCTTTGTCAATTATGAAATAGTTTTCTTGTTGCTGCAAATACACATCACATGTAGGCGAAGCTGTGGCTAATATCTTAAAAAGAAAAGAAATGACAGCTTAAGTAAGCAACAAAGGACCCAATTATACCATAGTTGAAGAATTTCAAATTATACCATAATTTAAAAGGTAATTATGATTCTCATTTAATAGCCTCAGGAAGCATTCATGGAGGCAGTTTATAATTTTTTGTTTTTCTGTGAAAACAGAGAATTCTGGGTCCTAAGATTATTGCGTTTTCTTTTTAAGGGCTCCTATACCAGTGAAATTCTAAACTAGGAAAATATTTACCCTTGTCTACTGGTTTCATGGTGTTTAAGAAGAAGTACAAAAACGCTACATTTTAACATGAAATCTCAAGAAGAAAGCTGTAGAAAATCAACAACAGACATGGCACAAAGACTCAAAGATTAATTAGCTATTGTAACTTTTGACACACCCCAGACCAATTCCTCTTAGTTCTCACAGTTTGTAGGATTTGGCCTTGTGAGTTCCCACGGAGGGTTATACCAGGATAGCCAAATTGCACCAGCCAGACTGAAGGGGAGGAAATGTATTCATGCAACTCCCGTTTCCTTAAAATCCTGGTTTTGTGGGCTCCTCTTTTATATCTTCTCCTTAGTCATTCAGCTGCCAACCCAGTTAGAATCTCCAAGTGCTCATTTCCAAATTTTCACTGTACTCTGGACATTGGTATTATGCTTAACGTTTCATTGTTGGTTTCATAAACAAGATTTAAAAAAATATATATTTTATTGATTTTTTTTTACAGAGAGGAAGAGAGAGGGATAGAGAGTTAGAAACATCGATGAAAGAGAATCATCGATCAGCTGCCTCCCGCACACCCCCCACTGGGGATGTGTCCGCAACCACTGTACATGCCCTTGACCGGAATTGAACCCGGGACCCTCCAGTCTGCAAGGCGACACTCTATCCACTGAGCCAAACTGGTTTTGGCCATAAACAAGATTTAAAAAATATATTTTTTAATTGGTTTCAGAGAGAGGAAGAGAGAGGGAGAGAAAATTATCAATAATGAGAGAGAAGCATGATTATTGTTTCTCCCTTTCATGTGGCATTGCCCCAATCCTGAGCTATCTATGTAAATATAGTTGCTATAGTTAACAACTCCAGGAGGGCAGGGTCTTTAATCCCTTTAAATGCCACCTTACCCTGAAGCTCAGCATAATGTATGTGGATGGGCAATATGTTGATTGATTCATAGCAAATTTTGAAAGCAGATACACTTGGCTTTCAATCCAGGCTCCACTATCCACCAGCTATGTGACTTTGGGCAAGTTACTTTACCACTCTAATGTTTCCCCTCATCTGGAAATTACAGAGGATAATATGTAGGATATTTGGAAAGTTGAATAAGATAATGTATATACAGTGTAAAGCACAGAGCACTAAATCAGTGGAAGTTTTATTTATATAACAACACACAATAAACTTTGTTAAATGGATGCACAAATAATTAAATGGTAGCTAACTTAAATCCTTTATTCTACAATTAAAAATAATTTTCTTACTGGTGAGGAAAATTACTCATGTTAGTAAGGATTCATCTGAGTCACTAAATTCACAGTTTGGAGCTATATTAATAAATGTGACATTATCCTATTTAATTGCTTGTCAGCAACCACCATATGGTGCATACTGAATAAATGTTAAGTAACAGTTCATCTTATTTCAGATAATCATGTTTGTTTTGTGTCTTCTTACCTAAAAAATGGGAAATATTGTATTTATAGTTGTACTAGTGGCCTGGTGCATGGATTTGTGCACATTGAAAGGAAATTAATTAGAAGGTGGCCAGTGGGGTGGGGCTGGGTGAGACGGGCCAGACATGCCCTGGAGCCAACTTCCCATGGTCCCTCTTTGCTGGCTGCACCTGGGGCAGCGCCAAGGCTCAAAGGTTGTCTGTGGTCATTGCAGTGTGACAGTAAACCAGATTCAGGACGACAGTGCCCCAGCAACAACATAACCCACAGCCAAAGGTGGAATCACGCAGCCCTGCAAGGAATTGGACTATCTCTTCTCTAGTTTCGGGGTACGTCACCTGAGAAACACTGCTGCCAAGTCACCACAGCTCAGCAGCTCCTATGTCGAGCATCTGACCCCTGGAGGTCAGTAAACATCATACCTACTAGCCGGTCAGATGGTCACTTTGCCTTTTATATATATAGATAGGACAAATGCTCTTGTTTTTTATTCCTCTACTCTCACACTATTACCACACTCACAACACCAGATATGTGGGGTTATTCCCATACCCAAGTATCTGACACCAGCTGGCTGTCCTACAATTTAATTCAGTTCTAACAGTATCTATCTGGAGTTAGTGTTATCATCATGATTAACTAGTTTATTAATATTAATGGTAGGAAAAGAGCAAAGGGGAGGCCAGACATTATAAGCATGATCACCTGGGCAGCTTCACCAGGAAGCTATAGCTTCACAATCCCCAGGGAACCACCAGTTCATTTCCTGCAGATCACTGGGGGCAGGGATAGAACAAGAGATTTGGGTGCATGTGCAGTGAAGTGGGTGTGACATCGGGAAGGTGCTTGCCTGTCAGAATGGTCTGGGAAAAAGATCATTGACTAGTGGGGTGAGGCCAGTGCAAATGCTCAACATCTTGGGAAGTTAAAATCCCCATCCCTCTTCATGCTCTCACTTACTCCGTGACCTATATTTGCTCCGTATGCTCACTTGTCCTAGAGTCTTAAGCAGCCACATGGCCCATGGCTGTGTGGACCCCACACACAATGGACTGTAGCTGTGAACACAAGGTAAGCCAGCCTGGTTCTGTACTGTACTATACTTTAATATGGAACAGATACTCTGGACAATGGCCTTAACTCCAGCCCCACTAAAGACAAGACTGGACTTTTTGCATAGCAGGACAGACAGAGATGGGATCTTGGAGGGAACCCCCTTAATTTTACATCATCAATAAAGCTTCCCACAAGACCCAATCTTCCCGGAGGAGGGGGGGGGGAGTGTCTCAGGAAATTCTTTTCCCCGAGCACCCCAAGAACTCCATTGCCACTGATAACATTAGTATGAGATAAGTCCCATGTGACTGCCTCCTGCCTTCAGATGCCAATCAGCAGTAGAGGCTGTTACCTGTACTTCAGACCTACTGCTTACAAACGGGGTTCCTGTGAGCCCCTTCTTGGGTTTAACAAATTGCTAGCATAGCTCACATAACTCAGGGAAATACTTACAATTACTGCTTTATCCTATCTAATAAGGAGGGAATATACTAATTGACTGCCACACACTTAAAGATGGCAGTGCCCACAGCCACAAGATGGAGGCGCCCAGTCCCCTTAGCCCCGCTGGGGTGGCAGGTGCATGGCAAGGCCAGGCCTGCTCCCAAGTGGGCCTGGCCACTCCATGTGCCTGCCTCCAGAGTCCCCCAGCCCCCTAGTCTCCCAGCCACCCAGGGCCAGCCTGAGGCACAGGCAAACCTCGGATGGTGGCTGCTCAGCCATTCAGGGCTGTCCGAGGCTCAGGTAACCAGTGTCGGACAAAGCTTGCGCTTCCGGCAGTGGCAGCAGCAGAGGTGAGATGGGGTGTTGCCTTCCCCTGATCGCCAGGTTGCCTCCCGCCCCTAAGGGCTCTCAGACTGTGAAAGGGGGCAGGCAGGGCTGAGGGACCTCCCCCTCCAATGCATGAATTTTCATGCACTGGGCCTCTAGTAATAAAATAAAGGATATGATAAAATATACAGATGATCAGTCAGATGAAGAGATATATAGGGTGAGGACTGGAAGGGTGCCTGACACAGGAGCGTCTGACCCCTTGGAGTTGGGGTGCACTATGTTCCCGGCACATGAATGTGCTCACCATCATGGAAGCTCTCTGAATCCAGTACTTCTGGGCTTTTTATGAAGATGTATATTACACAGGTATTAACTCAATATCCAGCCCTCTCCCCTTCCTGGAGGATGGGGGTGGGGCTGGAAATTTTACGCTTCTAATGAAATGGCTTGGTCTTTCTGGTTCCCAGTCCCCATCCCGAAGCAATCCAGGAGTCCATCAAGAGTTGCCTCACTAGAACAAAGGACACTCCTATCTCCTCCTACCACTCAGGAAATTCCAAAGGATTTAGGTGCTTTGCATCAGGAGTCAGGTCAAAGACCAAATATTAGAACAAAAGATGTTCCTAAGTGCTTTTACCACTCAGGAATTCCAAAAGATGTAGGCGCTCTGTGTTAAGAGCCAGGGCCAAGATGACTATATATATAATTTGGTATAGCCTAAAAATAAATACCAACATTCCTTTCCAAAAGTCTTCTTTTCATCACCATTATAAATATGTAACGTTAAAAACCATCAGGAAGAATGCAAACATTGAATCATTTCATTTCCATTTCTGCCCCTCAGGTGTAAATCTATGTAGGGACAGTAAAAGCCTCCTGTAACTGCCCCAATTACAGCCACTAAAAGAGAAGATTCCAAGACTCTTAATAGCATTTCTTATCCCTTATGAATTTTTATGTCTTTAAATTTCTATCAGTGTGCAGATAAGAAAGAGACTTCAGGAAATGACTTAGTCCCTGGAAGCTGGAATGAGTTCCCAGTTTCCTGCCCAAATCCTGTCTTCAGAATGAACTTTCGCATGATTTCTCTCCTTGAAGACCTCGCCTTTCACCTCACATTACATTTCCCTTTGTCACATTCCCGTATACGGCTGGAGTCACATGCTGGAGAATGGCATGGAAGTCTAATTTGTATTTTCTCTAATCGTTTTACACGTGTGAGCCTGTGCTTCTAACAAGTCTTGAAAAAAAAGTGTTTTTAGGGGAAATATCTGTGGATGAAAAAGAGGCCACATACTAAACCTGACAAGTTCAGAGGAGGCCTATGTGGCCTTAACTGGAATAAAAACTGGGACCTTTCAGTCTTGCAGGCCAAAACTCTATCCACTGAGCCAAATCAGCTAGGGCCTGCCTGAGCTCTTTTTGCATCTACAACAACATACCTTGGAATGTCTGAGAAATCCTCTTTTTTTCAACCCCCCAGGGTATAATCTTTCACCAGAGTGCATGACCACGGGAACCCCTCATAGTTAAAGTTTTCATGTTAACTGTTACCTATGCTATTCCCGCCTATGGAAAAAGAAGTATGTGTCTATTTGTTTTACTTTTTACCCAATCCCAGTGATTTCTCCTACTTTGCTTTCTCCCACGTCCCTAATCTATCACCAATGAATTTCATGTCACCCCCTTATGTCTTCTCCTTTGATGGTAATGTATAAAATAAGTGGCAAAACTGTCATTTTCTAGAGCATTTCCTCAGTCCATCGAGATTTTGCTTCTCGGCAACTGTCATCAGTTTGGCTCATGTAAACTGACAAAAATTCTTACAGGCTTGGATGCGTCTTATGTTGACATATCCCACAGGAATGTGACTTGTAGATGAAGTGACACTTGCGATCACACACTCCTGTGGCCATCACTGACTTCAATGACAGGCTAATCCCAGATCAGCTTCAGCAGGCCAGAGCACGTTTACATTGCTTTCATGTGCCTTATTCATTCATTCACTAGGCAGAGATCTACCCCGTTCCTCCCATGGGACAGGCACTTGTGCAACAATGGTGAATGGGATCCACATAGTGTCGTGGGGGAGATAGACAAGTAGATGCTCAATAAACACATTCTATCTGATGAAAGAGCAAAAGTCAAGTCTGTTTTATCACAACTTAACCCACCTTTCCCTTAGGTCGCAGGCTCTAGGCTATAACTGGGATGGGCAGACCAATGAAATGAAGACTCCGCCTTCAAGAGTCTGTCTACTCTGCAGTTCCATGAGAGAATAAACTCTACTCTGATCTGCGTTTGTGGGCAAAACCACGCATTGCCAGGAACTTTACCCATGATCTCAACGGTGTGCTGTATGTATTTACTGACATTTCATCAAATAAAGTTTGTATGGAAAGGAAAGAAAATACGCACCAAAGAGGCCAGTCCTTGGAGCAGCGTGGCTTCCTCGGCCTCGTACAGATAGTAATTCAAAGAAGCAAAGAAGTAGCCAGGGGCTGGGTCAGTGCAGCTGCGGCCAGTGACATGCGGGCGGCATTCACACTGCCCATCCTTGGGAGAACACCTGGGGAAAAATAAATCCATCTGAAAAATGTAGTGAGGACATGTACAAACTGAAGGCATGGGAGTGCTGAGCTAACTGTGCCCCATGTTTGGATCCATTCTTTAAATAGATCAATCCACTTTCCCAGGGCGGGGGAGGAGAGGCCATGGGCTCTCCAAGTCTGGTCTTGAACAGCCAATCCAGATCCATGAAACCAAGTAGCCATTTCTTCCCTCCGTGGCTCTGATTCTGCTCTAAAACCAGGAAAAGGAGACCTTAGGATCTCTCTTTACAAGGTGACAAAAAGTTAGTGTTTTAGGCAGGTCAGATCACGTGTTTGCAGGCATCTATCCCATCATATCACGGGATAGACCCAGGCAGAAGAACTGTCATCTCAGCCTTGAAAATATTTCAAGTAAAATAAGTCAACTGGGCTCTGCTTCATGTCTTGAGATCATCGCCTTTCAATGCCCTTTGCTTGACATGAAATAAACTCCTTCCCCTTTGGTGATGAGTATATCAGAAAAAATAAATAAATAAGTGTGCTTTTATGTGGGTATGTGAGTGAGGAATATTGTCCCAAAGTGTTGTCATTCATTTTCCTGACTTACACATTAGAATAAGCACCTCCCATATCACAGTCACAGGGTGAACATCCATGGAGATGACTTCCCAGGCCCCAGTATCCAACCTACAAAGAGAAAGTGCTCAGTTGATTCAGGTGTGAAGGTATTAGCTGCTTTGGCATATAATACTGAATGAGAAATATTACACAAAAGCTCACACAGGAGCTCTTTTTCCCCTTGGTAATGACCTTCAAGGACACAGAGCTCCCATTCTAAGGACTTGAAATGCAGGGGACAAGCGAGATGTCTGTTTATTGGTTCAAGTGGAAATGCAATGGAAACCACACAAGTTCCTCCGACAAAACCAAGCTAGCCTCAAGCTGGGTTAAAGCCAGGCAAGAGGAGTTCTCCAACTAGCCTGTTTGCAACTGCTTTTATAAAACCGACAGGTGCCCTTTCTGCATAAAAGAATCAATCAAACAGATTTTGAACTCTTATATGAATATCATAGTTTAGTAGAATCACTTGTTTATAAATAAAGTAGTTTTGGCACAATCTCTCTCTCTGAGAGAGTCAGCTCTGTTATTTAAGACTTTTCATCATTGCAACATCTTGACCTTTATTCAGTACAAACAACTGGTGAAAAACCAACAACTATTTCTTAAATCCAGTAGGATTTACTATAGAATGCTCAGAAAAATACTTCCCCCTCAAATCTCAATTGAACATGCTCAGATGAAATCAAGCTCTCACTAGGCATGGGACTATTGTTTGAAATGAATTCCTTAAGTACCCATACTTTTTTTTTTTTTATCTTGGTAAAAATTTATGGCCAATTTTACTCAAAAATATTTATTTTTAAACATTTAAAACTGTTATCATTTGTTACAAAATGCAGCAAAGGACTTCCCCAAACCAGATTTCTGTTTAGGCACAAACAATGTGAAAGGGACTGCTTCACTTAGGATGTGGTTGTGAAACTCCCTCCGGGCAGGGTATGCTGTCCTGTGGCCGCTCCCGCACAGGTCCAGGGCACCATGGGACAGATGTGGGTGGGGGGCACCTGCCAGATGCATGAGTTCAGTCACAGTGGACAAGTGCCCACTGCTCAGTTATTTTCCTTCTGCAAATACAGTTGGGTTAACTGCAAACTGGCCGTTAACCTGCCCATCAAAAAGTCAGCCTGGGTCTAAGGTGTCTTCATGGATCCTGGCAAATAGCTCTTTGTGCTGTCTGCATGTGATCACTGCGCTTGGCGTGGCTCCGTGGCTCACGCCGCTAAGTAAAGCTTGGAGGTGACTTGCTCTGGCTCACGTAGGGTGCCTTAGTCATCCCTACTTCCATGCTTTCTTTCCCACCTCCTCTGCTCCAGCCTCATATGTTTCCAGTAAAATTACTTAAAATGTTAGCACAAAACCATGTCCTAATAGGCATATGTTTCATATTTATCAGCTGCATTTCTTCAGACACGTCAAGGTCACTGTTCCTTTACTAGGTTACTTTTTTGTTTTTTTCTTTCTAAAATGTCAGGATGGGCTGCCAAGATCAGAGAACAAAGGAATGAGTGGGGTTTGATTCCCCAACTGCATAACACATTGCGTATGGAGTAAAAATGTCTCATTTGACTAATTTTAGACATACATGCACATATGTGTAGTGGAGTCTGTGAAAAAACGAAGAGTTTATTTCCCACAGGAATCTACAATAAATCCAAGTTTTTTTTTTTGTTTTTTTTGTTTTGTTTTTTTTTCTGGTCTGTTTTTTCTTTTCTTTTTTCTTTCTTTCTTTCTTTCTTTTCTTTCTTTTTTTTTTTTTTTAAATGAGCTCGTCCAAGGTATTTTTAGGCAAGGAGTGGCAGGGGTGATAAAGCGACCGGGGACAGAAGACAGAGGACAGGCCCAAAGGCCTGGTGAGCCCGAAGGAGGGGGCAGATCAATGCCCACGTACTTGGCATTTTTAGGTGAACCAAGGATAAAGCTATTGACGTGAGCTATAGCCCTTATGCTGAACTAACCATGGTCATTCTGTAAAGGGTATAAATGTCTAAACACTATTTTGTACTTCTGAAACTAATGTCAAGTATAATTGAAAGTAAAACTTTAAAAGCCAGGAACATCTGTGAAGCTCAAGAAAGCAAAACACAATAAAATGAAACAAACAAAAATGAAAACAACAAAATATTGACATGGTGCCTGGGTCTGTTGAGTTCCTTCTGATCAATGTTGGCGTGCTGGTGAATGTTTAACAACCAGCTCTCTGTGAGAGGGTGGGGGCTGGTTCCTAGTGTTTGCTGATTTCTGTTGTGCAAATATATATTTAGCACAGGAGTATCGAAATACAATAGGACAAGGAAAGCAATGAACAAGACCAAGTCTCTCCTAGGCAATGGCACAGAAATCTGCATCCCAACCTACAAGGAAAAACATAGGCAAATATTGTACGTACAGCGCACTCCTCACAGCGTGGGCCGGTGGCAGAGGGCCGGCACAGGCACTGGCCTGTGTCCACATCACAGGCCGATGGCGGCAGACTCCCCAGTGGGTTGCAGTTGCAGGCTGAAAGCACAATGACACGATCACTCACTTCTATGTCCCCATGTTTGTGAATGTCCTCAGGAGCCCACACTGAGCAAAACACGTGGCCACAGAGCAGCCAGGCCTGCCCAGCTCCCTGTCTGCCTGGCTGCATGATTACTGTTTGGCACACAAGCCTGCCCAGGGAATCCAGTGCCAGGCACTCCCAGAGCCCTCGTGTAGACCTACTGGATGGCAGTTAGTTGGAGACAAGAAAGTGGAAGAAAGCATGCAAGCTGAATGCCTGGCACTGTTATCCTGAGGGATGCTGGCTGGTTTGTGGATTCGGCCCAAGGGTGTCTGAGTGTCACGGTAATTGCCACGCTCCCTCTCTGGCAGAGGCACCTATTGTTTTCTATCTCCTTCCTCTCTCTCTTACTGCCTTGTTACATTTTCTTTTCATTCTCCTCTCCCCTTTCTCTTCCACACATAGACATTTCTGAGTCCTGCTTATGTTATGAAGACTAAGAAATTATGCTACCAGGACAAGATGTATATATTTCCCGTGCAGGAAAAACCAGTGTTCGTGGGAGAAGCCAAAGGTTCATCAACTGATGATAAATGCAGTGTGATATAGTCACACAATGGAATATTATCTAGCAATAGAAAGAAGTGGAGTACTGATTCATGCTCTAACATGGATGAACTTTGTAAACCCTGGCTTATTTATTACCTGGCTTATTTCATTTAGCATAATGTTTTCAAGGTTCATGTTGTAGCATGTGCCAATTTCCTTCCTTCTCAAGCTGAATAATCTTCCATTGTAGTACATACCACATTTTTTTTTATCTACTCATTCATGGATGCACACTGAGTTGCTTCCACCTTTTGGTCATTGTGAACAATGATGCTATGAATACGAATGTAAATATCTCTTTCAGACTGTGCTCTCAATCTTTTGGGTACATAGCCAGAAGAAGGGTATGGGGTTTCATGCTGGGATAATGAAAACATTCTAAAATTGATTGTAGTGATGGTTACACAACTGTAATACACTAAAAGTCATTGTCCTGGAGACTTTAAAAGGTGAATTGCATGCTATGTGAATTATACCCCACTAAAGCTGTTATAAAATACAAAACAAAACAAAACCCCACTATTGGCTTATCCTCTGAGGGCATGAAGTCAGTCAGTCAGCCAGGGGAAATGTCTAGAGCTCTGCAAAGTGTGATGGGAAATTGGGTTGACTATGTAATTCATTCTCCTGAAATTTAATTTTGCTATTAAACTCAAGGAGACAATTTTATCACACTAAGATTCAGCAAGCTGCTCTCAAAATGTAAAATAATATACAGTGCTTGATGTGAGAAAAATGTAGAGTGTGATGCTGTGCCCGAAGAGTCATTATTTACCCGGATTCCCTGAAGATCCTACAGCTGTTTGGGACCCCAGGCAGCTGCAAATGTGTGTTATCCTAAAGCCACGGGTCTCTTCAGTTGGCCCCAGAAAACTTTACGGTTCTTTCTATTTCCCTGTAGCTACTCCCCTGGCTTCTTAATTGTTTTCTTTTCTTTGTCAGAGAACATCAAAATGCTAGGAGGGACATGAGAAGAAAAGGGAGAAGTAATTTTAAAAAATCAAAAGAAACCATCATATGAAAATTGCTCAAGAAGTCATCAGTCTTTACAGAAACCCTAATATGATTTAACAAATCTGTATAGGAGAGTCCTAGTGGAGGGTGTTTTTCTAAAGTTTTCACAACTTGGCATTAAATTCCTGGCATTTTCCACTGTTTGCTCCCCCTGCTGGTCCCTTAGGACAAACTCAGCAAACCACTGAGAACTGAATAAAATTCACGGGAGTTTTTGTGTCACTTTTAAAATCCGAGAGGCTCTGGACAGCAGTGTGGTGAAGGGGTTGAGAGAAGGTGGAGGAGGGTATGAGGGGATAAATGATGATAAATCAACCTGATTTGGGGTAGTGAACACACAGTACATGCACAGATGTGTTGTAGAATTGTGCACCTCAAACCTGTATAATTTTGGTAACCAGTGTCACCCCAATAAACTTAATAAAAATGGAAAAAAGCATAAGAGAACTCTAGTAGCAAAAAACAAGCAAGCAAACAAACAAACAAACAAAACAAAACAAAACCCTGAGAGGCTGGCAGGACTCAGGTATTTACAGTGATTGAATTTTAATTTCTTTCTTTTTAAAAATTTTACATGTCTTGAGGTGACATGGGTTAATATCATCATACAGGTTTCAAGTGTGGCTTTCTGTTACAAAATCTGAATATTGCACTGTGTGCCCACCACCCTAAGTCAAATCTCCCATCACCATTTATTAGGACCCCCTTCATCCCTACCCTTTTCCCTCTGGCAACCACCACACCAATGACTGGATTTTAGAGCTGACAGAGAGCCAGGCTGGTTACCCAGCCGCTGTTGACTTACGCTGACAGCCCAGAGGGTCAGTGACGCTCAGTCCGTAGTGGCTGGGCTTGCACTGGTCGCACTTGGCTCCTTCCACATTCTCCTTACACAGGCACCGGCCAGCCACAGATCCCGAGGTAGGATCAGAGTGGCTCTCACAAATGCCACCCGATATGGTCCCATCTGGGTCGCATTCACAAGCTGGGGACACAGACATGCATTATCTTAGTTAACTGCAAATTGTGGGAAACCTGAAATGTAAGAATAGCATTTTACTCACGATATAACCATTTTACTTTTTAAAAGTCATTAAATATGTTTAAATAATTAGACGAGTGGATAAAGGGCTGCTCAGAAATATCTCTTGGATCTCTGGTCTTGGAAAATGTTGAAAAATTCCATACATTAAAAAAAAACAAAACCAAAAAAAACTTTTAAGTGATTCTAAAGTAAGAGGACCAGAGGAAGATGGCTACTGTGAGAACTGGACATTAAAAATAGATTGATTACTTTGGGGGTGTTGAAAATGTTTTGGAACAGAGGTGGTGGTTGCACAACACTGTGCCACTGAATTACTTGTGGAAGGAGCACCTATGAGAAACAAAGGGTTTGGCTCAGTGGATAGAGTGTCAGCCTGCAGACTGAGGGATCCCAAGTTCAATTCTGGTCAAGGGCATGTACCTTGGTTGCAGACACATCCCCAGGAGGTGTGCATGAGGCAGCTGATCGATGTTTCTCTTTCATTGATGTTTCTAATTCTCTATCCCTCTCCCTTCCTCTCTGTTAAAAAAAAATCAATAAAATATACGATTTAAAAAAAAGAAATAAAGGGGCAAGAGCAAGAAATATTCATATCCTGTTTTCTTTTTGGATGCCTGCTAGTGGAGCAAAACCTGGAAGAGATTCTAGAAAATGAGATAAATAGTCACCTGTAGGGAAGGAGTAGCTAATGTACAACTTCCCCTTCCCTGCTTTTCCCCCCAAGACAGCTGAACAACTGAAGGAAGGAATGTCACATGAAAAAGGATGCTGATAGTGTAAAGTATTCCAGAGATTAGCAGTTACAAAAGGGAGAACCTGAGTGTAAGGAAGAAGTCTCTAATGGTTAGGGCTACCCAATGGAGCAGTGACCCCTTCATCAGCAGAGGGGTCCAGGCAGAGGTGTTTGGTTTAGAGGACAAGTTGGAGACATCAGATGACCACCATGATCTCTTGTATCTTTGTGGTTCTGTGTTTTCACTTTTAAAAATGCAAAAAAATTTTTTTAAAATAAATATCCTGATTCTAAGGACCAATTATATTCACATTTATACATGTTTGCTTTAGATTAATAAAAATAACACCCTCAGGTCTAAGGCTATGTTTACATAACCATTATAGTGATAAAAATCTAGTCAAACCCATTGTTTGGCATCATTGAAGCAATCACTTGGTTGTCTGACAGAATCTGTAGATTTCAATTGTTTGCTATTAGATTGTGACTGGTGAGAAAATGTTACTATGGAAAAAACAGCATTGGGTTCTGTTTAGTTTGGAAAAACCACAATTATTTTCTAATTAAAACCAGTTGCTTTTAGAAAGGAAGGAACAAACTGGATTCATTTTGGAAGTAGCCAAAAGGAAAAGGCTCAGCTTTATTTGGGAGACACTCCAAAGGGTCAGCCCTGAATATAATTGAATTATGTGCAGAAGCTTCCTTTGGTGGATGGGGGTGAGTGGACAGTGACTTTACTTTGAAATAACCCTATGTCAGGGCCCTTAAGATAGAATTTCAATAAAATTTCTTGGTGTCACACAACTCAATTCTAACAAACTTTTATTATCAGCAGCTTAGTCTACTAAATCTTTGTGTGCTTGTTTTTTTTTTTTGTTTTTTTTTTTGTATCACATTTGCCTGTGTTTTAATCATGGAAGATTTAACCTTAGTCAACTCTTATGCCTGGAATCATATTATGTAAATATTTAGAGTCAAACAAAAACAACTTAGAGAAAATTTATATGAGATTGCTGCTAGTCAGTCTTAAAACACGTCATTTGTATAGACTCACACACATACACAAAACATGTGTTTAGGTAAACTGGGAGAAACTGGGGGGTCTCAAGATGGTAGTTTTTATAAGCTCCTCATCTGCTTTTCCTTGAGAAACAACTTGTTTACAAAGCATGGCTTTTTCATTTCATACCAGGGGGACTCGTTTTCTTCCCTTGGTTTCCTTTAAAAGCACTATCTAGTTGATACTGGTTCTGAAGGAACAAGACTTTCTTCAATGTGTTCAAAACACTTGGTTTAGTTATTTCCAATCTCTTTCCATGCTCTTAGATTATCTGTTTCAAACCATTATATTTTACTGATTTTACCTAGGAGAGTAGTTTCATTTTCTTTTAAATTTTGAGTGTGTGTATAATTACAGATTCTGGTAAAAAATGTAGGATACTTAGGACATTGATTAAAAAATTGGTTTTTCCCCCCCCTGAGAATCCAGTTCTTTGTATAAATTTTAAACAGGCCATGTACGGTAAAATTTTATGCAGTTAGGTACCTACTAAGCAATCTGAGAAAAAAAATCATGTATGCTTTTTATATATTGTGATGGTTTAAAGTTTGAAATCTAGAATATTGTAGGTATTTAGGTAGCTACTGAATTACTTTTATATAAGACTTCATTTTATGTATTGTGATTAATAAAGTTTGACATTGTAGTTTCATAGCAAGTCCCTCATCAATATAACATTTAGTTGATGATATAACCTAAGAAGCAGGATTTCTGGGTCCTGGGCACCTGAATGTTTTGCTGAGTGTGCTAACAATGCAAGGCCACACTGCTCTTTATCCAGGCCATATCTCAAGATTGTGTTTGCAGCCAGCTACCTTGAGGAATGAGGAAACCTTCTCCTCAAGACAAAGAACAAACTTGCTTCCATTGCCATAAAAGCAATGAATCCTCTTCCAGTGTTCCTTGGCTATGAGATAAACCCATTAGGTGTACAGGAACCATCTGGTATTCTTTGAATGGCCCCATGGGAGTTGGGGCTTGGGGACTTGGGAACTCAGACCAATACAAGCATCTTGTTGCTTGCTGTGCTGTGAGTAATAACGTCCTTTGTCTTTGACCCAGGAGTTTCATGTTCTCCACCAGCATCCACAAAAGAATAGTGGACTAACTTGTTAGTGTACAGTAGAGTTAAGATACCAGACCCAGTAACTGGCACTGTGTTCGAAATCAGGTTGGAGTATTTATCTATGCAATAATTGAGAGCAGTGCTGGGATTAGAGAGGGGAAAACAAGGTGCCCACGGCACAGCATTTAAGGTGGCACTCACTGTCAGGTTAGTGCAAGTGGCAGGTGGCAACCCTACGCTTACATGACTCTGAGAATGGTACTTCCTTAAATTCGGGGCCTAGGTCCTTTGTTTGCCTCACTAATCTCATTCCTGCAAGGAAATGTAAATTAAGATACTGGTGAGATACTATTTGAGTAGCAAAAATTAAAGTGTGATCAAATCAAGTGTTGGCCAGAATATAGAGCGACATGAAGTTCATATTATGTCCAAGTAATTCCGCTCCTGGGTATGATTCTTAGGGGCAATCTTTGTGTGTGTGCATAAGGCCAAGCATGTGGTTATTGTAGCATCAGAAGAAAAATAGGCAAATAGATTTTGGTGCATTTATAGGAAGGAAGGAATTAAAATTAGAAAACGAGGGCCACCTGATAAGGACAAATCTTAAACATACAGTGCTTAATGAAATACTGAAGGATACACACAACATAATGTCACTAACCTAAAGTGTGAAAATATGCATGCATATATATATATATATATATATATATATATATATATATATATATATATATACTGTTTGTGGGTAAAACATAGGTGAAAATAATGTGGTGATAGCTACCAAACATAGTGGGACAGATGTGCACCTAAGACATCATGAGTACCTGTCCTGTTTTGTTAAAGTCTTGAAGATGATAGGGTAAGATATTCTGTTTTGACATAGCTGGTGGTGGTTATAAGGGTGTTTACTATATTATTCTGCTATTTTGTATATGCTTCAAATATTTTATTTTTAAAAGTTGAGATTAGAAATAAAAGGAAAAAAGTTTTTAAGGTTAAAAAAAGAAGCAAGGTAATAATAGTTAGCTCATGCATCTTAACAACATAGTTGAATGGCCTACAGCCATCAAATGCAGCTACTGTCAGTAGCCAGGTCCTTGCTGGAGCTGACCTCCGGGAAAGTCTGGGTGTCTAGGCATCCCCTGAAACCATCTGCCCCCTCCAGGTTGGATCCAGAATAGATTCCTAATTATCTACTATAATCCACTGCTGCAAGACTACCGTGATGGACCCGCGTTATCTGGCCCAATTTGCGAAGCGAAAGAAACGCTCTTAGAGTTAAAATGGTTTTGCAAACTCTCCCTGCCCCTAAGAGGGACGTTTGGAGGTGCTGCTAAGCCGAATGAGACCTGCTCCATTTGCTCAAACCAGGGCGAAGGGTGCGGTCAGAGGCTGGGGACTCACGGAGGCACGCGTACGGGTCCGAGATGGCCTTGCGGAGGTCCCTGTAGAAGAGGGGCCTGCAGCGGTGGCAGTGCTGGCCCTCGGTGTTGTGCTGGCAGTCTTCGCACACGCCCCCGCTGGCCCCGCCGCTGGCCAGGTACACGCTCATGTCGAAGTGACAGCGGTCCGAGTGGCCGTTACAGCTGCAAGCTGGGAAAGGAGAAGACTTCCTCAGAGACTCACCCCGGGCTGCGAACAGCCTCGCTGGCATCCCACACAGGAGTCCCCGCATCCTCACCTCCTCTTTCTTCAGCCACCCCACCTTCTTTTCATGGACACAGGTATACACACAGTTCAATCAGGGCTTTCAAAGGTCTTCCCAGGACTCTTACTCCGCTCAGGTACTCTCTCTCTGAAGTGTGTTCCCCAAACGTTTAATATTTAGGTTTTTATGTCTCCCATTTAATTTAATAAAAATCAGGTAAATGGAAGTAAATCCTTTGGGTGATCCAGAAGCCCTAACATGCAATATTTTCATTGTCGTCTGGTAAAGAGCACTTCACTGACATGCTCTGTGAACTGGAATTTTTTTTTACACCGCATGCTCTGTAGGCACTGGGCTTCTCAGGTCCGATGTCAAAACTGAGCCTCACCGCCTCGCCTTCTCTGAGGGCCGAGAGCTGGGAGGGTGGTCACAGGGCCCTTCACCCGCCTGGGGCGGCGCCTGGGCCACAGGGAAAGGCGGCCTGCTGGGGGAGTTTGTCCGTCTTCGTGGCAATGTCTATGCTGCTCGGGTTTGTTTGCCCCCATAAGTGGCATAAATGTGTGCCGGGCCTTGTAGATATGACACATGGATGGGGCTTTCCCACAAGCTCTTCTGGTGACCTCTTCCCCCTCAGTCTTATTTCCCCCAAATCTGGGAACAGAAGCAATAACAAGTTCGCTCAGAAGTTCATCAAAATTTAGAGGCAGCAAGGACATTACGAAAAAACCTGCACCTTGTGAGCCTACACGTTTTATAAAATGCACACTAACCTGTCAAACTCAACCTAGACCTCATTTCTCCTATTATCTGACACCTGCGTCTAAGGTCACATTCATGGACTGTATGGTGATTCAGGACAATAGTAGGGATCTGGGTACCGAATCTAACCTCACCTGGATTAGTACCATCCCTGCTGACATTATTACATGGCTCGGTCCCTCATATTGTTTCATTTTTCAAATTCATGTTAATTTTTGGTGTGAAGGTTCGATATGGGGGTGATTTTCCCATGTGCGATAACGGGAGACATCAGCATATCATGCAGTTGGAGCTGGGAGCTCCTGTTCACCAAATGAACAACAACAACAACAACAACAAACTGTCCTCAGTCTGTGCTAAGGACTCTTCCCCACTCACCCCTGCAGGTGCTATCCTGCGGGCCCGTGCCTGGCCTCCAGGGCGCATCCTGAAAGAAGTCCCGGCACCGCTCGCAGTTGGTGCCCTCTGTGTTGTGCTGGCAGACGCACCGGCCATGGACCTGCATCGTGTGATAAGCAAGCAGTGGTAAAGGAGGGCTCATCTTGGAGGTGCTACAGTTCTTTATTATTTTTAAAAAATGTACTTTCATTGATTTCAGAGAGGAAAGGAGAAGGAGCGAGAGACGGAAACATCAACAATGAAAGAGAATCATTAACCAGCTGCCTCCTGCCTGCCCCACACTGTGGATCCAGCCACGTGCCCTGACTGGGAATCAAACCATGACCTCCAGGTTCATAGGTCGATGCTTAACCACTGAGCCACACTGGTCAGGCAATGGTGCAGTTCTTTAATGGAAAATGAAATACCAGGCCTCAGGCCTCTTTGAATTTCAGTTTCCCATATAATAGTTACAACAGCAACTATACTACCTCTTTTTTTTTTAATTTAGATGCAATAGCTTTTACAATTAAAAATTTAAGATGTTTGGTAAAGATTTACAATAAATTTTTTGATATTTCTGAGTGTTAGTGTCAAGGCAGCACATTGCAGCCCTCAGCAAGATGTGTGTATGTGTGTATGTGCGTGTGTGTCTGGGGTGGTTTAGAAGCGTAAGGAAAAAGAGGAAATTAGAAAAACAGAAAGAAACTGGAGAAAAGTGTGTGATTCCCCATAAAATGCCCTGAATGACCAAGTTCAAAAGAAGTTCTATTTCCACAGAAACATGGAGAGAGCTGAGTAAGAAGGTACAAAAGCTTCAACACCAATCAAGCCTTGTCTGATGCCGGGTCTGGTTATGACTAAGTTAAATTATTCAGTAGATTCACCCCCAGGACTCTGCATGAAAATACAATTCTTCTACTACATCACTCCCTCAGACTAGTCCCAAGAAGGGAAGAGACTGGCACTATGAAGACATAGCCATCACAGCGTAAGACTGCTACTTGGGGTGACCATCCTTACAACAGCAGATGTTATTCCAACACCACGGCACTGACTGCAGTAGACCACCAATAAGTTTGTAAGGCATGTGGCTCTTGAGCCGTGGTTTGCCTCTTGTCGACTAATGAGTTTGGTGACCACTGCCTTAGGGAAAGACACTTAAAAAACATTTTAATAATGTACTAATGTCTTTAACCTGAAGTCAAAACTTCTGGGTAAGGGTAATGCCTTACACAGTGGTCGGCAAACTCATTAGTCAACAGAGCGGCAAACTGTGGCTTGAAAGCCGCATGTGGCTCGTGAGCCACAGTTTGCCAACTACTGGTGTAAGGGAATGCATGTGAACTTATGGCTCCTCCCCACAAATCTCCATTCCCTAAAAAACAAACAACAAACAAATAAACAGCAAAGAGAGAGAAAGTGGGCTATCTTAAAATCGTAAGTTAGTTACACCCTCTGGTCATGAGTTCAAGAATGCCCATGTGTGGCAGAGCCCACAGGGCTTTGGCGGGCCAGGCGGAATCACACCTGCTCCGACACAAGGCCGGACGTGTGGATCCCAGGAGGAAAGTCTGGTCCGCCTGGAGCACCAGGACAGTACAGGAAGGTAGGGGGCCAGCCGCTCTCCTGGCTGCGTCACTCACCATCCCCGGAGGGCTGAGCACATCTCCGGGCACCGCCGGCATCGGGCCGCACTCGCTGGCATGGCCGTTGCAGAAGCAGCTGCCCCGGACCACCATCTCATGGAGAGCATAGTAGTACTTCTCCAGGGAGTCGTTGTGCCTCCTCCCGAGCACAGTATCCCCCAGAGTGTGGAGCTTGGTGAAGTTTATCCTCAGGTTTGTTAATGTAACTAGGTCTAGAGAAAGGAAGATCGTAGTAAAAACAACGAACCAAAGTGCATGTAGGTTGTGTCGGTTCAAGGCGCCCTTCTTGACTGACTGACATCCCCTTAGTGGACTCTAGAGAGGCAACGGCAAGGACACTGCTCACAGGAAATTTTTAGAATAGCAATGAATGAGAAAAATATAAAACAGTTCATACCCTGGATGTAGGGGCTGTAGGGGTTTTCTATTTCAAAGCTGGGATCCAAAGCTTTTAAAACAACCTGTAAAACAAATGTAGGCAAATGTACGTATTTTACCCAAGAACTTGATTGTTAAAGGGTATACTCTTAAAAAAAAAAAAAAAAAAAAATAAAAAAAAAAATATATATATATATATATATATATATATATATATATACACACACACACACACACACACACACACACACACACCGTATTTTTCGGACCATAAGACGCACTTTTTCCCCCCAGAAGTGGGGGGAAAAAGTCCCTGCGTCTTATGGTCCAAATATAGCCTACACATATACTTTAAAAAAAAAGTTTTTTTACTTGCCCGGCTCTGTGTGGTCTCTGTGTGCTTGCCCGGCTCTAAAATGGTTCTAAATGCTGCTGTTTACTTTACAGGGTTGATTACATGTGTTTATGACTGATGTTGGGTTTTAATGCACATAAAATATTTTAGGACACTATTTGTTTCAGAATCTTTTTTTCTTCATTTCCCTTCTCTAAAAACTGGTGCATCTTATGGTCCGGAGCGTCTTATGGTCCGAAAAATACGGTGTGTGTGTGTGTGTGTGTGTGTGTGTGTGTGTGTGTGTGATTTTAGAGAGGAAGGGAGAGGGAGAGAAAGATAGAAGCATCAATGATGAGAGAGAATCATTGATTGGCTGCCTCTTGCATGCCCCCTTCTGGGGATCGAGCCCACAACCCAGGCATGTGCCCTTGGCCACAATCGAACATGGGACCTTTCAGTATGCAGGCTAATGCTCTATCCATTGAACCAAATCAGCTAGGGCTAAAGGGTATATACTCTTACCTAAGAGATCCTGATCTTACCCACAGGCCTAGCCATTGCCTCCCAGCTAGCGCAGGATACAGGCCATCGTTGGGTTTTCATATGAATAAAAGTGCCAAGAAGGAAAATGAAAGTAATAAACAGTTGTCAGGGGAGACTTCGTGATGCCGTACGCAAGGAGGGCCCCTGCTCTGGCGTGGGGTGGAGTGATGGGGTCACAACTCAGCAAGTCATGACCAGTTTGGATTTGGCAGGGAATTCTTGGAGCCACCGCCGACCACCAGTTCCTTCTACTACTCCTGATGAGATAATACCACCACCCCACTCCTACCCGGGTCCTCTGCCAGCTACTAGGGTTGGTCAGGGGGAGATTCCTGGCAGATTCCACCTGAGTGGTGGCTTGTGGATCAAGGAGATGAGGTGAGACTAGTCCAGGGCTGCGCTCACCTACACGCTCCCTCCCTCGTAAGGGTTAGAAACAGATGCTCCTTCCTCTGAATCCCCCAGGCCCTGGTGCCCAGCCTGGATTTTAAGGCCCCGCTCACTTTCAGCTGGACACTGTGCAGGACTATTTCCTAGAAGGTCTTTATTATTTATCTGAATGTGAGATGAATTCAGGACTCATTTCAATTTAAACTGTCATTCTTAAAACCCGACAGCTCAAGTTATTTTTCAGCAAATGCTACCTAAATTGCTTTTTGTCCAAATTTAACCAACATTAACAACAAACCACAACAGGCTTATTTTACAGCGAAGGAATCCAAGAAAGGAAATGCTACCTCACCGCCAGTTGAGGGCTCACTATCCGAATATTTAGAGTCACAAACAAGGTCTCCCACGCCCTGGGCCTGGCCAGAGGTGATGTTGGGAAAGGAAGTAGCACAGTCTTTTGCAAAATATTTAAATACTTTCCAGGTGTGTCCATGGTCTGTGGAACGCTCAACTAACATTGCAGCAGGCCGAAAAGTCTGTGGAAAAAATGAGTTAAACTTGAAATACCTCACAAAGGGAGATGTAATTACCCGCTTTACAGGAAATATTTATATTTTCTCATTCTATGTTTTCAAACTTTATTTCTATACGATGAACAAACCAAATCTCTTTTTAAAAGTTGGCAAGTATTTATGAGCGCATATTTTGCCCTAAGATCTAATTCCATTTAAAAATGGTTATGGCCATGTGATTAATTGGGAGAAAGATGGCATATTAATTTTTAAGAAGCTAATGTATAGATATTTTATACAGCAATTTGCATGTTTTTTTCTTTTCTTCTTTTTTTTAATTGGGGGTAGGGGAACTTAGAATACTTTTCCTCTGGCAAACTCTTATAATTCTTGAAAATCTACCAGGAGGTTTATCTGGGTTCTCCAGAACAGATTTAGCGTTATCAATGAACTCCCCACCATTCTAATATGTCTATGCACTTATCACTCCGTATTATGATTTTAAATTTACATATGCAGTTTACATATAAATATGTAAATTTGTATCCATGACTAGATTGTGAGCTCTCTGGGGGCAAAGGTTAATGTTTCTTTTTTTATATTTATTTTTTTAATAACAACTTAGCACCAGGCCTGACATCAAAATTAGAATTTTGATGCATGATCAGAAAATGACTATAGCACAGGATTTTCTCGGATACCTCAGCAACCTTAACAAAGACCCTTTGATTTTTCTTCCTTTTTTTTTTTTGATCACAATCTTTCCATATTTTCCTAAATAATTTCCGGTTCTTGCCCTTTTTTGCTCAAAAGTATCTTTCTTGTTCTGTGGTCTCTATCTCCTGGGCCCAGCGCTTGACATTTTTCTTTTTGTTCTATCTTCTAAGACTTTTCGGTTGGCGTTGACCATGTAAGTTACTAATTAATGAGCAGTGGTATTTTGTTTCAATCCAAGAACAAAAACCCCAATGACAAAGCTGGAGTCCAGGTACACACAGCTTTTTGTTCTCGGCAAGGAAGCAAGGAAGCAGACTTTCAGGTAAGTCAGTGGTCAGCAAACTGCGGCTGCGGTTTGTCGCTCTGTTGACTAATGAGTTTGCCCCAAAATCTAATTCCAGGGATTCGGCAGGGAATAATTTACTAAATTAACAAGTGAGGGAACCCCAGCATTTGGTTAGTAGATACAAGGGGCAGCAGACGCATCTGTACCTTAAAGGTCAGAATAAGGTGGCTGAACTGAAATAATGCCTCCAAGTCCAATCTGATGCTGACATGATCAAGACCTAAAAAAAACCCCAGAAAGGAGAAAATCAGTGATTTTGAGAGACCCTCGTTTATCATGTTAATCCCTCAGTGTGGCTTGTCTATAATCAAACCCTTTGAAAGCCCATGGCTGGTGATCAACTCTCTTTTCAATCTGTTGGAGTGCTTTCCTATGCTATTCCATGCCCAAGAGAAGGTCTATATGAGAGCCATCTGGGACTTACCCAGACTGCGCCTACGTCCGTGCCTATAGCCACAGTGTGGCAGTATTACACACCACCAAAGGAGTCCCGGGACAGTTCCCATGGGTGGAACAATGGGCTCGTGTCCTTGACCTCACATCTTGACGACACCCAGTGTGAGCTAGCAAGCCAGAGCATGGTACAATTGGCACGCCCTATCCTTCCAACAGCTGCTAACCATCATTTGTACCGGTTTTACTCTCAGTCCGCATATAACACAGCTTAGAGCGAGGACCCGTGGGCTCCTCTGTGGCTGAGAAGACAGACCTATCCTGGCCAGAACTTTGCACGGAGACTATCAGCTGCCATCACCTCATCATGGACATGAAGGACTGGCCCTAATCTGGGCATGATGGAAGCTCTGGTCTCGCTAAAGTGCGCCGTCCATTTAAAAATTTTTTTTTTTTAAATGGTGTCATTTAAATTTTTTTCTGGCAGTCACATTTCAGTAAGTGCAATTATTTTTAATATATTTAACCTCCCAAAATAAGAAATATTCTCATTTGGACATGCCATCAATATTTTAAAAATTAGCAATGTTTTATCACACATTTTCACCCCAAACTGAGTGTCAGAAACCTGGGATGGTTTCCTACGTAGAGCACACCTCAGTTCGAATGAGACATGTTGTACATGGCGAGGGCCTGGCTACTGGGCAGCACAGCCCACAGCACAGTGGCCGGGCTGCACCGAACGGCGGGCAGCTCACCTTCCGGTGAGGAAGGGTTTGCCGCTGAGCGGGCAGCCACACCCCAGGCTCTGTCATGGGCTCCTCACCCTTTCTAGAAAGGCGATCTCCTTTCCCTCTCTAAAATTCTTGGTAGAGAACCCTGGTTCTATGTAAGCAGTCATGACACAGGGGATTCCTTCTGGGAGGAGATGTGGGACAAATGCTGGGCATGGGAGACTAAATGGCTATAGAGCAGAACTGGCCCCATGTTGAAGAGGAGCCATCATGAGTGAGCCAGTCTACATTGATTCAAGCATATGACGCCCAAAGCTGGGGTGGCACGGGGAGAAGGGGAAATGAGAAATCCCCGGCCAGGTTCAAACTTAGAATGGTCAGGGCCAGTGCGAGGTTCAATACTACAGTTGATTGTGACTAGAGAAGGGCATACATCCAGAAGGGAGAGAACTTCAGTTGGTAGCCAACTATCCTTTCAATTCATTTTTTTGTGTCAAATCCTTTGGCTTGTGGGAAGACACAAAGTGTCATTTTTCTCTCCTCCTTTGTGTGTTGAAGAAGGAAAAACACATGGCGTGAACTCTGAGACGTCTCCTGGCATTAGTAATTCCACTTAGTGTGTTTTATATTAGCCTTTATTTACCAACACCTCATAAATTTCTTTATTATTATTATTATTATTTTTTTTTTTTTTTACAAAGAACAAAAGGATGCAGAGATATTTTCTTCTCAGACATGGAAAGAGTGAAACATTCTGAGTTATGTGCTTAAAATAGACTTCTTTTTCTCTAGAAAAAAAAAAATCTTTCTTAAAATGAAAAGGAAATTTGTTCTTATACGGGCTCTACATTCTGGTGGATACTGTTCCATTCCAAAATAAAAAACAAAACAAAACAAAAACTTGCCTGACACTTAAAATCATACAGAAAGACATGTTACTAAAAATATGAAAAAAACAAATTGGAAAGGAACTTATTCATACCATTTTCAGATTGCCACCATTTCTTTTCTCTATTTGGTTCAAAACTTGTAATCACATTCTCAATGGTGTGGCTGTTGGGATGGGCGTGCGGATCGTATGGAAATCTGGAGTCACAGATGAAGCATTTTTGCTCCCCCTGGAAAATGTCGCCATTAAAATTTAAAATAAAGAACTGTAATTACTTATTGTTGACCTAAATTTAAAAACAAGCTGTACTTACTATATTTGCCATTCAATCTGGCTAAAAATAAAAAGCAGAGGAAATAACAAGACATCAATTTTTCCATCAATAGGTGCTTAAATACAATAACAAATGAATTTAAAATATGAAAGGATTTTTATAAATTTACATATTTGGAGCAAAAATGCAAACATGCGGAACTAATTTTTTTCTCATACAAGGGGCAGATGATCTGGAGATTATTTTAAACTACAGAGAAATAATTAGAACGTACTCTTTGAGTGGAATTATTTCCTTTAGTAAAAAAAAAAAAAAAAAAAAAAAAAAGACTATTTGCTATGAAACTAATAAAGCAGTGGACCACTAGGCTATCTGCATCATTATCCTTTCTCTCTCAGACATAGTTTTTGGTGGAAAAGCTTCCAATGCCAAAATCTTTATATTACACATTGTGGATTTTGTAAAAGATTTTTATAAACTTACAGCAGAGAGCCCCACCTCTTGTCTCACAAACTAGAAGGTTTTTTTGGGAACTGGAACTAGTTTTGCTTGAGATATCTTTTCCAAGGCCAGACAGCCGAGATTGGCCTTGGAATTTGCCTAACTTCACGTCTGCTTATAGCTATACTTACTTAAAACTCCTAAGGAAATCTCCAGGGATTTCTGAAAGATGCCAATGACCCGCACAGTTGTTCCTGGCTAATATGTGGGTCCCTAGAGGAGCATTTTGGCAAAGCCTTCAGGGAGCAGGAGCTGTTTATCACAATCCCGTGGTGGAAATTGCCTACAACAGTGAATGCGCTGTGAACATTGAGCTTATGTCCTGACATGGCTTACAAGGGCCTACATGGCCTCACCAGGGCCACCTCCTTGCTTGTCTTCCCTGATGCACTCAGCCCTAGCTGCGCTTATTTCTTGCATTTCCCTGAGCTTACCAAGAACTCTCCTGCCTTAGAATATTTACATCTCAACACAAGCTGTACTCAGATTTTCCTTGACTTCTAAAATTCCACCTCCTCCCACCCTAATGGCCTCTGCTAGCCTCTATCCCTTACCCTGCTTGGCAATATTCTCTAAGTGCTTATACTACTTGAGACTATATTGTATAGTCATTGGGTTACTGTCTATTGCCTTCATTAGACTTTAAGATGAATGAGGGCAAGGACTTTGTATTCTCCTTACCTAGTATAGTGTCTGGAACCTAGTAGATGTTCAATAAAATCTGTTGAATGAATGCATGATGATTTTAAAAAATATATTTTTAAAAATTTGATTTTAGAGAGAGGAAGGGAGAGAGAGAGAAACATCAACCTTCCTCTCCACTCTTTGGTTGATTCCTGCAGGTGTCCCGATCTGGGATTACAGGGGACATGCTTATACTCAGGGCTTGTGGGCTACTCTTTCTGTAAACATTTCAGGAGCCTAGTCTTTGCTGAGACTGGCTGCAGAGGATGCTTATTTGTGGTGATGAAGTGGGGATCCCGCTCGGGTAGCACTGTGGGTCCATGTTGACCTGCAGGTTTTGGAGAGGATGCTGTACTTGCCAGATAACAGATGGGAGAATCGCTCTCACCCTGCACCATGTCCCCATGCACCAGCACTGGTAGCCCCACCTGCGATACGTTGTCAGCTGGAGAGATTTAGAGATTTTTTTTTTTTCTAGCTCTAAGATTTTTAAGATTTCTGGGATTTTCTAAGAAAAGAAAAAAAAGCTTCTGAAGTTTGATTTCTTTCTGCTTTTGGTCGAGTGAAATTAAGATGTAGGAATATGACTTTCTAATTACTCTGTGAGTACATTATGAGTTGGCTATGGCCATAGAAAGTAAATGCCAGTGGCAGACGAACAAGATGGCTGGCGTCCGGTCAGAAAGTTTCTAATATTAAAGCCCAGAACCACTTCTTTGTCCACAGGCCCTGGACTCACAAAGCTACTTAAAGAGTCATCCGTCCCACTTGACCTAGCGTTGAGCAACACTTCCCCAGCGTCATTTCCTTGCACGGGCAGAGCATTTGCTCTCTGACACAAGTGCTTCCCAAACTTAGAACAGCGCTAAGCTCTCAGGTAGTGTCTCCACTTATTTATAACCATCCTCTTTTACTAGAAACCAATTAGAATACAAAGCATTTCCCAGAGACCATCCAGGAGGTGCCGCAAAGAACAATACGTGGAAAAACCTGGGCCATCAGCATTAGGCCCGAGTCCAGCTTCCTTCCTAAACATCCTCTCGTTGAAGGGCTGACGTGACTGCCCGGCTTTTCAGCAGGTAGGATGCATAGATGACCTTGGATGCTTGCGCTGCTCCCAGAACACAGGGAGGAAAAGAACTGTAAGGCAACTTGTCCTTTTAATAAACTGGTCTTAAAGAGAAAAAAAGAAAAAAAAAGAAAAAGCCCCAAATATATTCACAGAGGGATACTACGCTTTTTAGGCACGGCAGTTTCCAAGTGGCTTGTGAGACTGGGCAGTGAATTCCAAGCTGCACCCCGCTAGCTCTAGGGTCCGACTATGAGAACTCATGTTTAGTAGAACGGCCTCGAGTCAATTATGCTAACTTGAATAAGGTGACCGGACATCCCGCTTTTGGCAGGACAGTCCCGATTTTTAACAATTTGTCCCGTGTCCCGCGGCATTTTTAAAAAGTCCTGATTTTTGGCCGAAACAAGTTTGGCTCAGTGGTAGAGCGTCGGACTGCGGTCGGACTGCGGACTGAAAGGTCCCGGGTTCGATTCCGGTCGGGGGCATGTACGTTAGTTGCCGGCATATCCCCAGTAGGGGGTGTGCAAGAGGCAGCTGGTACATGTTTCTCTCTCATCAACGTTTTTAGCTATCTGTCTCTCTCCATTCCTCTCTGTGGAAAATCAATAAAATATATTAAAAAAAAAAAAGTCCTGATTTTTGGAAAGATTCTTTTAAATCTTTTGGACTTTTTAAAATGCCGTGGGACAAATTGTTAAAAATTGTAACTGTCCCGCCAAAAGTGGGACATCTGGTCACCTTAAACTTGAAGAAAACAAAAAAATGCACTTGGGACATTGATAAACTAAGGAAACTAGATCAATTCTGCTCAAGCGGAGGCTAAAAAAAAACAACAGAAGCCCCGGGATTCCACCGAAAGATGTCAGGGCTTCAAAGTATTTCCAGTAAGTCAATGATGCTAACTCCACGGGAGTCACTAAGGCAGCCGCATTGCATAGTAATTCCCTTCAAAGACTGAACTGAAAAGACTTTTCTGTCCACTTCTAAAGGTTATAAGAAATAGATGAAGCAGATCTTCCCTCTTTTCCAATCTATCAAGGTTTCCTGGCTTTGAATTGTGTCTCTGATGTTCTGAAAGGCGTGTTGTCTCTCATGCTGTTGTCTGAGCAGCTCCAGAGGTACCTGGGGCAAGAATCTACATCATTGATTAAATAATGTCTCAACAAATAACAAAGAACCAACCCACCTCGAGGTAGCTGAGGATGCAGTATCTCTGGGCTCCATCCAGCCCACAGGTGGAAGAAGCTGTGAGCTGCGTGCTGCGTCCCACTAGGAGGTTGCCGGTCGGGGGATGACAGGCACCCCTGCTGCATTTATCTTCAGCTTTTGCAAAACTGAGCAACCCTTGAACACAACAGAAACAGCTACTTAGAAAGGGGAACAGAAGGCAACTGGCTACATTGGAAAAGTTAGTCTACTTTCAATACCAGTTCTGTTGATCAGTAAGACCCTTGTCCAGGATGCTGTTGGGGCCCTCAGTCCAGTGGAAATCTCCTGGCCTGTGGGGTAATACCACCTACATTCTCTCTGGCCATCCTGTAGCTAATGAATGATAAGAGCTTACTTCAAAGACAGCTCCATCCCCTCAGGCGAGGATCCACTTCACTGTGCAAATTATGCTCAGAACCTCTTCCTGGGAGGAGGCTGGAGCCTGCCCTCAGCTGGGACCATATCCGACTTCACTTCCCTAACCCTTACTCCTCCTCATTAGCCATTAGGAAAATGCAAATCAAAGCCACAATAAGAATAGTACTACATTCTTATCAGAATGGGTAACATAAAAAAAGCAGCAGTAACACTTGATGCTGGAGAGAATGTGGAAAAAACAGGATGACTCATACACGACTAGTGGGAATGTAAAATGGCACAGTGACTCGGGAGAAAAGTATGGAGGTTTCTTATAAAGTTAAGCATGTGCTTATCATACAGTCCAGCAATTGCACTTCCAGAGAAATGAACATTTATGTTTACCAAAAAAACAAACAAAAAAACAACTATATACAAATATTCATAGCATCTTTACTTATAATAGTAAACAAACAAACAAATAAACAAAAACTGGAAACTATCCAGATTTACTTCAATAAGCCAAATGTGGTACATCCATACCATGGAATAGCACTTAGCAAATCAATGAAATATGCAACAATGTGGGCGAAAATGAAAGGAGTTATATTGAGTAAAAAGGCCAATCTCAATGGTTACCTACTGCATAATTCAATTTCTTAAATGACAAAATTGTAGAGATGGAGAATAGACTGTCAGGGGGTTGGGGAGTCAAGGAGGGATGTGGGGAGTGGAGATAAAGGGGTAATATTAGGGATCGTTAAGATGATAAAACTGTTTGGTATGTTAACTTTGATGGTGAATTGGTGAATACAGGAACCTACACCTGTCACACACACACACACACACACACACACACACAAATGAGTGTATGTAAAACTGGTGAAATTTCAATAAGGTCAATAGACTATATATCAATGTCAATCTTCTGGTTGGGATATTGTACAATAGTTATGCAAGATGGGGGAAATTGGGTGAAAGGTATATGTGATATCTCTGTATTATTTCTTAAAACTGCATGAGAACCTGCAATGATCTAAAAATGCAAAGTAAAAAATCCAACAATTCTCCCTTTCCTCAAAATCACCCCACCAGCCTCTGGATGGTGAATCAAGTAAACCTGCATTCTAAAATAATACACATACAACCTGTCCCAGCCGCTCTTATGTACTTTTCCCCTGAGACCGTTTATGCCAAGACCTGATTTCAATAGACTGGAGTGAGAGGATTGGCCTTAAATGAAAAAATAAAAATAAAAATTACTGTTCTATGAACTAAGTTGGTTTCTTCTCAATTGTAAAAATAAAGAATTTTTTATTTCCTTGTTTTATAGCTAATGGATTTCTTTCCTTCAACTTGTCCTCCAAAAAGATGGCTTCTGAAAAATAATGTTCTTTCTCTTATGCATACATTTCCCACATGAAGCATTCTTTTAATCTGGTTATTTTTTTTTATTATTATCAGTCTATAAACATTCATAGATCATATGATACATAATATCTACTTCCCCACAGGTTGCCAAATGTCAGTTTGAACAGGGAATTTTCTATCTTCAATCTCATTGCAAAGATTATTCTTCTAAAAAAAAAAACAAAAACCCAACATTTATTTCTCTTTCTTTGAGATAAATGCATGAAGAAACTTAATTCCATCATGCAGCTTTTATTTCATTTTATGATAAATGATCTTAGATTAGTTAACATGAATTTATCTTTTACTCACCCAATAATAAAACGCAGATCTCCATTTATCATAGAATTGGCATCCAGGGCAAATAACTAATTAGAATTTGGGATTCTAATAGACAGAGGCTTTTTAAAATAAAGTCAGGCATAAAGTCTCTGCTAATGCTACATGTGGATTAACTAAGATTTCCCTTCAGGTTTTATTCCTTTAGACAAGTTCCATCCTGAAATCTTTTATTAGAATCATTGCCTTAGAGATTTAACCTGCTTTTATAACCTAACTTGGCCAAACTTGTCTTATTCAGATGTGTACTTTTCTAAAACAGGCATATTCCAGGACTTAGTTAACTATTATTCATGTAATATGCTAAGTGCAAACATGAACTTATGGTCTAAATACTTGGCAAAAAGTGGCCTGAAACCTAAGTAGTTAAGGCTTCTTGCCTGGAGATAACCTGAGCAATATCCTTCCTGAACTAGAGATTTCAGCTGCCAGATTGTCACATTGGTAATGATTACACTGGAACTAATACAGAAAAGACGAAGAATAAAGATGTTTATGTCTTTAGAAAATAAACATTTTCCTCAAAAATGACATACAACTTAAAGATAGAAACTTACTAAGAATGAATGTAGATCTGGTCATTTAAAGAAAATGCACAGCAAATTTTCTGAAAAACGAAGGATCGCTTTGTAGAAATAACCATTATTATGTAATCTCTCAGTAATTTTGTAAATTGCTATAATTTTCTGAAACACCTAAGATGTTTTCATGAACCTTGGAGTGCACATCAGAGTTTCAGAGGCTGTAGACATACATCCATGTGCTCACACGCATTATTTACATGAGAGGAAAAGTCCAGAGAATGCACAGTAGATGAGGTTTGCACTTTGCATCCTGTTCCCCAAACCTGGGGCCAGTACGTGTTTTAGGACTCTTTCTTCTTGTTTTCCTTAGTCAGAATGCAAGACAAAGTGTTCAGAAAGGCTCTGGTGTTTGTATGGAAGCCTAAGGTCGAAGCAGAGAGTGCCCAAGCTGATGGCGTGTGGGGTTAACCTGGTTTATGGTTTGACCCTAGGCAAAACCTAGACATTTGGGTTAGGTCAGGGTACCTTGGATTTAGAAATCCAGCATGTATTGCAGCTCAGGCTTTTCTGCTAATTTAGTTTTGAAGACCCTTTCCTCCAGAGAGAGGGAGCTCCTTGAGGAGGAGTCTGTGCGAGGGGTAAGCCACGTGCTCTCGAGGCTGGGGAGAGGGCGTAGCCATCTTCAGGGGTTGCTTCTAATTTTGAATGTTGGCTTCATCCCAAAGAGAACAGCCAAACCAGGTGTAGATGAGACGACTCTTCTCTGATTGCCTGAGGCCAGATCTGAGCTTTAGAGTCCTGGGGTGCAGCCTAACACACCTTGTTTCTTCCCACTTGTGACTCACCTCTCTTGAGTCAGGGAATTTTCAACAAAGAATAAACTAGCGTTTCCCTTCTAGAGCTGTTCTTTCCTTCATGATCAGGAAATCTAATTGGGATATTGCCTTGGGGTTTAAAAATTGCAAAATTAAAAGACAACATTCTTAAAGTTTGCTGCCATGAAGAAATTCAGTATGAATGTCTCAAGAGAAGATGCTATGCAAGTTTGTACTCAGAAAGCAAGAGCAGGTCTGTTATAGACAGAAAAGTCCAGATCAAAGAGAGTAATTGTTGGAAACATCTTTTCTATGGCTGATGTAAATTATTCTCAGCTTATTAAAAATAGCACAGACACAGAGAATTTGGCCTTTTAACTCAGAGCTGCTGCTTACTGAGAAGAGGGAATTTTGCCTATAAGCTGGGCCCACATCACTGGGACAAGTGCTACATTCAAGGAAGAGCTATTTTTAAAAATTGAAATGCATTATAGTTGTCAATTATGAATCTGAAAGTATCTGGCTTTCTTTATATCTTTCTTTATTTATCTGCTGAGGATAATATTCCATGAAAGGGTGACAGAAATAACTATATGTGGATAGTAAACATATTTGAGTGAAATTTTTTAGTTGCTTGACAATTATACAACAGAAGAGCCATGAAAATATATAGCAGTATAGAAAGAAGGTGGATATGTTTAAAAACTATTTTCATTAAATATTTTAGAACAATTTAATACAAGCAGAAAATTGATTTTTGACAATGAATACTCACCAAAGTGCAAAAGAAAGGTCAGTTGAAATTGCATTCTTGTCAGGAAATGTTTAACTCCAATTCTGCTAGGTTAAAAAAAGGAGGTTAAATCAGTCACTGATAAACTCAATTAATTGTATCAATTGTAAATGATTTGAAAAGTTGTCCGATGGTTCTTATCCTTTAGGGACACAAAATACCTATAGTGCCCAAGTCCTTAAAAAATAAGAGTACATAGCCCTACCCAGTTTGGCTCAAAGGATAGAGTGTTGGCCTGCAGACTGAAGGGTCCAGGGTTCGATTCTGGTCAAGGGTGATACCTGGCTCTGACCAGGGCATACAAAAGGCAACCAATTGGTATATCTCCCTCACATCAATGTTTCTCTTTTCTCTGTCTCTTCCCCTTCCTTCCACTCTCTAAAAATCAATGGGAAAATATCCTCAGGTGAGGATTAATAATAACAACAACAAAAAAAGAATGCATACAACTTTTACAAATATTTGTTTTCTATTTTGAAATCACAAAATGCAACCATATGTGGGAAATGATATGGAAAAGTATAATTTCCTTTGCATATTTTTATTTTAAATGACTTTTGCCCATCTCATTATTTAGAACAAATTTTAATCATACAATTAACATGCAGAAACTTCGGACAGTCGTTATTATTTTAATGTATTTATATGAATGGTAGTGAGTAAAAAGTATTTTTCATGTATTTATATGTGGGAATTATTTTTGACATCCTAGCCTTTAAGGCCTGTCCTAATGAATGAATTGTTTATCTTACTAACCCCACGTCTTTAGCCCTCTGATCTCACATTCCCTAAATTCAAGCATTGGGACACCACTTTCTGCTTGTTGCTCCCTCCTCTCATGCCCTTTGTCTTGAATGCCACCTTCCTGAACACAAATGCCACACTCCTAAATGAAGACCCTTGGACAGTGTTTTGAAATGCCTGATTTTTGATGAATTTCCCACTCTGTGATCCAAGTTCTTTACACGGCCTGGGGTCATCCTAGCCGTCCAATATCCTAAGACAATGACCGAGTGAGAGAGGCAGCCCTCACAGCATCTCCAGCTGTGAGATCTGTGACGAAAAACCTGCAAGTTTTGTATAATCCCCACACACAGAACCCAGTGAAGACCTGTAGGAGAGTCCAGAATGGAGCCAGAGGAAGTCCGCTCTGCGTGGGCCACCTGACCCTGAGCACTTTTCCTACGTGGTGGATTCTTGTGGCCGTTTCCTCAGTCAGAGCATGTGGCGTCGGTCAATTACCTAGCTACGAGTTTGGTAGCATGAAATCTCAAATCCTGATGTTGTTCTGGATTCAGAACTCTGCCCTGCATGCTTCATTCTTTCCTTGAATAATATTTTATGCTAGGTACCTGCGGAGATTTTTCAGCTACCAATGCTCAGGCCCAACCCAGATCAATTCAATCAGTATTGCTGGGGGTGGGACCCTAGTGTCAATGTGTTTAAGATGCTCCCCAGAGGATTCTATGTGTAGCCAGGGTTGAGAACCAGCAGTGGCTCACAAACACCTAGACCTCATTAATTTGCCCAATATGCCTGGTCTCCCCCTGGATTCCATTCTAAGGGAAGAGCATAATCCAGTGGTTCTCAAACTTCTTCACCCTTTAACACCTATATTAATAAAGGGTGATATGCTAATTAGACTGGGGGACCTTCTGAAAGGCCTTCAGGATGTCCTTCTGGACAAAGCCATAGTGGTGGGGCTGAGGCAAAGGCAGTTAGGGGTGATCAGGTCAGGAGGAGAGGGAAGTTGGGGGTGATCAGGCTGGCGGGGGTGGGGCAGCTGGGGGCAAGCAGGCTGGCAGGGGGGGCAGTTGGGGTTGAGCAGGCCATCAGGAAGGGTGCAGTTGGGGGCAAGCAGGCCAGCAGGCAGAGTGGTTAGGGGTGATCAGGCAGGCAGGCAGGTAAGCGGTTAGGAGCCAGCGGTCCCAGATTGCAGTCCCAGATTGGAGAGGATGCAGTTCAGGCTGAGGGACACCCCCCACTCACACACCCCCACCCTCCTTGCACAAATTTCATGCAGGGGGTCATTAGTTTCTTATAATACTGGTTTGGTGATAAACTCCTTTTATTTTTTCTTGTCTGGAAAGCTCTTTAATTTTCTTTCAATTTTAAATGATAGCCTTGGTGGGTAGGTCATTGCTTTTTATTACTTTAAATATTTCATGCTAATCCTTCCTGGCCTGAAATGTTTTTGTTGAAAAGTTAGCTGATAGTCTTATGGAAGTTCTTTTGTAAGTAACTAATTGCCTTTCTCTTGCAGCTTTTAAGACTCTCTCTTTGTCTTTAACCTTGGGCATTTAATATTTTTAATTTTTTTAAAAAAATCTTTATTGTTGAAAGCATTACATAGGTCTTCCTTTTCCCCCCATTAACCTCTTCCAGCCTGCTCCCATCGCTCCCTACCCCCAGGCCCTCACCACCCCATTGTCTGTGTCCATATGTTATGCATATATGCATACAAGTTCACTGGTTGAACTCTTCAGACCCACCCTGCCCTGCCTTCCCTCTGAGATTCAACAATCTGTTCATGTTTCTATGTGTCTGGGTTTGTTTTTTATTAAAGCATCTTGGGCATTTTAATTATGGTGTGTCATGGAGGCCCCTTCCTGCTGCTATTGTAACCTTGGTTTTGAGGTCCTTGTATCAATTGCCAATCCTGGTTGTTCCCTGGTGCTGACCTTTTACCTGTCTCTTCCCCCATGACCTAGTCTATGGCTTTCAGTACTTAACATTTTCCCTATTTCATATATATATATATATATATATATATATATATATATATATATATATATATATATTTTTACTTTCCAGAGCCCCAGTTTCACTGGGCTGTCTTTAAATATGAAAGTTTGAATGTTGTATTAGAAATTGCTTGGGAGGTAAAGAGGGTTATAGATATAAGCACCCATCATTAGTCCTAATTTTTTTTATATCATAGCTGGAAGACATTCTGAAGTGGGCTTCATTCCCAGTATTGTCTCCATTTAGAACTGATTTAGAACTAGGCTTGATCCTGAACCACATGCTGTGAAGGAGTCACAGCTTCCAAGTCAGAAGCTTTGGCCCATGGTCCAAAGCATTCACACCAGGAGCTTCTGCAGGGCCCAGTAAGAAGAGGGTGGGAAGGGCTGGGGTCCCTAGCTTTCTTCCCTTCCCCCCCTCCCAAGAAATGGGAGTGGCCCCATTGAACACCTGGGATTTAAAATCCTTTAATCCAGCTATCTCTGAAAGCCTGAGGCACAGCAACTGAAGAGATGAGTTAATTCTGGCTGCTAAAAGTATTCTCCCTGAAATGATCCAATAAAATGTGGTAAAGGGATTTAAATCATACCCGCTTTTCTATGTCCCACTGCAAATGAATCTTGACTTCTTTCTTGGTGAATGTGGATTATGGCTGATGGCTGTAATTATGCTGCAAATCCTAGGCCCACATCAGCTTTTCTGCTTCTCAGAAAAGTGTTGTGCAATGGTTTTCAATGGGTTAGTTTTCCCTGCAGAGAACGTTTGCCCATATCTGCAGACATGCCTGGCTGTGACAGTAAGGAAGAGGGATACTGTTAACACCTAGTGGGTAGGGGCTAGGGATGCCCCCAAATCAGTATCTTCTCATGCATAGGACAACCCCAGCCCCATAAAACTGCAGGTGGCTTCAGCGCCCTTAGCCAGGGCCTGGCATCCCACCCTTTGTTTCTACAAATTGCTCAGCTCTCTCTAGTTTTTACTCCCTGTTTTCTGTTTCCCATTTCAGGTCATCTAAGCCCTAAACTACACGAGTCTTATATTATAGGAAGTCTGGCAACTTTTAGGAGTTCTATTATCTGAAATCACCTACACAGGCATTATGAAGCCCAGAAAGGCACATACCGCACAGTTCAGGTGTCGTGGTAATCTCATTCACACCATCCTTCCTCAAGCTATCCATGTAATTGGTGCTGCTTTTCAGGCTGGTTTATCAGAGCTGACATGTGCAAAGCCTCACAGGGGCTAGATGAAATGTTTTCTTGTTAAATTCATTGGTGAGTTCAAGTGATGCATGTAAAAATAATTGGGATGAATAAATATACTATTACCCCCTCTTTGGATGAGAAGCATGTATTGTAGATGTATTTTGGTCACCTATACTAATAAAAGAGTAAGATGCAAGTTGACCGTACCTTTGCAACACCTACCAGCCAATCAGGAGTATGCAAATTAACCCAACAAAGATGGTGGGTTAATTTGCATATCTTGCTGAGCAGTCTGGGCCGGGACAGGACACAGGTGTTCCACCCTGCCCCCAGCTACTCAGGGACCCTGGACAGTGTGGAAAGGCGGAAAGGCAGCTCTGGCCAGAGTGAAGGCAGTGCCAGCAGCCAGGGAAGGAAGGCCTGTTCTTGCACAAATCTTTGTGCATCAGGCCTCTAGTTGTTTAATGAATGTTGCTGGATGGATGCAGGTCTTAAAATACATTGTGTTTCAATAAAAGTCTCAAAATGTTTGAAGGGTTGCAATAGACAGTAAAATATATAACTTTTTGGCATTGCTAATTGACTTTAATTTACTGACTGTTCACTAACTTTACTTCATCTGCCCTCACTTGCAGGCTGTGCTCAGGCAACAAAGTTATGTTTAACTTTCCCTTATTTGTGTAATACCTTTTCCCACTTTGCATCAGAAATCATCAAATATTCCAGCTGCATTGCCTAAATTGCATCACAAAGAGGAATGAGTAATGGAAGCCATAAAGCTTATTTTCTTTCAATTACAGCAGAAAGTATGGTTTTTTTTTGTTTTTTTTTTTGTTTGTTTGTTTGTTTTAACACAGTATTTACACACACCTAGGATACTAACAGAAACATTTTGAAGACATGGGCAGTTCTATAGAATTAGAATTTTTTTCTCACTTGTCACAAGTTGTATCACCATAATAAAGTAAGCATTTACCTAATACACAATTTTAAATGGTGCAGCTCAACATTTCATTTCATTTCATTTCATTTCATTTCATTTCATTTCATGCTTCCTTCAGGGAACAGAGAACTTCAGGTCATTGGCTGCATCCCACTGTGCACTAAGCGTCCACTCTTCCCATTGGGTTCTGTATGACATATGCATGTCTGACTATTGATCTTTCTGTAGAAACAATGATTCTACTCTATGCTCTGATATATTATACTCTATGCTGGTGCCCCACATACCCAACAAATTCTGAGCTTGCTGATACCTTCACTTAATCCAAAAAATGCCAACTTGCCATTGAGATAGAAGGTGAGACTTACCGGGATTTGAGAGTCTGTTGATAGGAGCAGGCAGCAGGCAGGGCATGTAAAGGCACACCTGAAAGTAAGAGTCAATTTAAGTAGAAAATGTTTTCCCCGAGGCATCTGAGGGTAGGGAAAAAAGAGAAGTATTCCAAAACCTGCCAAAAAAGGTGTTTTGTAAAGTTACTTGCCTTAAGTTTTGACTTACACACACACACACACACACACACACACACACACACACACACAGAGAGAGAGAGAGAGAGAGAGAGAGAGAGAGAGAGAGAGAGAGAGAGAGAGAGGACATTAGATTTTACAGCAAATGGTCATTTATGTGTCCAACTTCTGCAAACAATGACTACCAGGAGTTGCAATTAGGGGCCATAGCTGCAAACTGCAACATTCCTGCAAAATTTATAACCAAGATTGCAGTGCTTTGTTGCTCTTGCCATGTGAAATTCAGGAGGAAGACTCGTAGAGAATCAGAGCTTACATTGTGCTCACAAAAGCCACAGAGGTGCAACGCCCTCTCAAGGAATGAATTGTTTGGGGAGATTCACTCGGGTGAAAATTATGGGCCTATTCAAACACATTTTCCTTCCTACTTGCAATAATAATACTTTATAAAGCAAACTCTCAACCTGGAAATGAGTGATAAATGCAGACGTTTTCATGATTCACTAAGTAGGAGAGTCTTTTGCTTGATCATCCAGCTTTACCTTCAAAAGGAATCTGTGTCTGATGACACAGAGGAAGAGGGAGACAGTCCATGGCATATTTTGGCTTCTAGAATTTGAGCTGTAAACATCTCTACAGATACAACATTAAGACAAAATTAACAAACTCGTTTCACTGATTTATAACACTGGCATCTGTCAGAAAAAGAAGAAATGGCTCATACCAAACAGAAAAGAAGAAAAAAGAAAGAAATGAGAAGTTCCAGAGGCCAGATGGTGGCTGGGCCACGGACTCGGCAGTCCTTGCCTGTAATTGTTGCCGCAGTCTTTCAGAACTCACTCAGTCTTGGAAAACGTCTCTCCGTTGTCACCATTACCCGGATACTTTGGTAGTGCATGCTACAATGTGAAGTTCTGGAAATAATATCATTAAGTACTTATTAGATTGGGGTGATAGGTTTTATTTCTCCATTAATTTAATTGGATTCAAATATATCAGAAAGTCACCAAGCAAAACAAAGTTGTTTATATTTTCAGATACCAAGGAGATGAAGCAGAAAATATTCTCTTCTTCTACCTTCCTTTTAAGCATTGGTGATTCCTCAGCGTTGGCACCCGAGCACCTCCTTCTCTTTCTGTGTGTATTCCTCAGGCAACTCATTTGGGTAATTTAATAACCTAAACCACTTCTTTCTCCAACTCTAGCCCCACCTGCTTCCTGAACTTTGATTTCATGCCCATTGAATCTCTATCCGGATGACTCACCAGCACCTCAAGCATACAGTGTTCACAGTCGTCCCAACCTGTCCGTCTCCCTCATTTCCATCCCATCGCAGTTCATGACATCTTTGCCCACTCAGCTGTAAGCCAGGGACCTCCGCTACGCTTAATTTCTCTCTTTCCCTCTCATTCCCCTGAGGCACACAACCAAAATCTGAGCCTGGCCTCTCTAAGCCATCGATGGGGTTCAGTAACAAAGGGGGAAGCTGTCTTGGCTCTTTCTTCGGCTGCTTCCCCCGAAGTCCCTGTGTTTCTCTCAGCATAGGCTGGTGCTTGGTGCAGTACTGGTGACTTTCCTTTGGCCATGCTTGTGGAAATGGTGTCACCATTGTAATTAGCCAGTTATTATTATTGTTAGTATTAATATTAATATTAGTAAGAAAGCAAAGGGAAGGCCAGACATTATAAGCATGGTCATCTGGTAGCTTCACCAGGAAGCTGAAACTTTTCACTGTGGTGGGCTGTTTCTCTGTTTTCCGTGTCCATCACAGGAAATGACAGGTTCCTGAGTGGAGGAGCTGGGGATTAAGAAATTAGAGAAAGAAAGAGACAAGAGGCAGAAATAGATTCATCAAGCTGGGCGCTAGGTGGGTGCCATCTCTCTGATGGAAAGGCAGCAAGGTTTGTTTATAGGGTCAAAGGAGCTATTTGCATTCTTAAGTAGGTCCTAGCATTACTGGATTTACATATCTAGACCCACCCCTGCTGACACCTGAACAAAGGTACTCTGCCAGTGTCTCAGGCTCAGCTAACAATTTAAAGAATGTCTATGTGCCATCTCAGGCAGCCCTCTACATTTCACTCCTCAGGAAACCATTACAAATCACTGCAAATCACTTGGGGAAGAGGTCCAACAAAGGGAAGATGGACACCTGCAGTCAAGTTGGAGTGACGTAGAGAAGGTGCTTGCCTGTCAGTCTAACCTGGGAACAAAGATAATTGCCCAGAGGTCTGGAGCCCATGCAAGCCTGTGAATATTTGGAAACATAAAATCCCCAGACAAAGGAATTCTCTTTTCCTTCCCCTCCCTCTCTCTTGTTCCTCTTGCTCTGCTCCCTCCTGGCACTCCCGTGTTCCTTCCATAGCCTCGTGGACCTAGAAGCCGCACGGTCTTTGGCCACGCAGATCCCACACACAGTGGCTGCAGCTGGAAACAGATGCTGGACTGAGCTGTGCAAACGTGGAGTGGAAACTCTGGGCAGAGGCTTTGGGTCTAGCCATGCTGAAGACAAAAATGGGACTTTTTTTCCTTCACTGGGCAGAAGGGGATGTGACCTTGGAAAAGCATGGGTTTAATTCCACAGAAATAAAACTTTCCATGATACCTCATTCTCCTGTGGGGCTCCCAGAAATTCTTATTCCAACGGCATCCCAGGAAGCCCACTTCCACCAGCAATGGGGGCGGAGGGGACACGGGGAGTATCTCACCGAAAGAAGCTGCAGGGTTCAGCCTGGGTCTCAGAGCATCACCCAGTGGACAGAGGTAGAGTCTCAGTCCTCGTGGTGCTACCTTCTTTGTTCCCTTCCGTTCAAAACAGGGCCTGAGTCTCACTATTTCTACTCAAGATTGTCAGTCAGAAGGTCTTACCTTTCACTGGCTTGTTTATGCTTTAGGATCCTTTCAGGAACAGTAGGGGGTGGGCTGGAGTGGATCGGAGAAGGAAGTTGGAGAAAAAAGGCTAAATATTATTGACTGAACTGTTTTTATTTTGCTTAGAAAAACCAAATTTAGTACTTTGTGGCTGGGTCTTGATGACCAAAAAGTTGTATTACTTCAATTACCGAAAGCAGAATGTTTTAAGTCATTACATTTTCAGATTGACTCCTAGCTTAGCTTTCCCAAGATGAGATCTGCAAATACTGTTATGAAGGAAATCCCCCAGCTGCTGAATGCTAAGTCAGCTTTTTATGCCACTTGCTGTGTCCTATAGCCTAACATCAACATGTCTGATGGGGCTGCCATCATTTCTAGCACAGACTGTAGTTGCCACCTAACTCTTGTCCTTGTTTCTTCTGAGCTATTCTCCCCATTGTCCCCAGAGAACACACACTTATACTTGTAACATTGTTTTGCTTACAAACCTTCATTGGCTCCCGTTCACTTACAGGCCCTGACTTTCTTAGTGTGCATAACAAACCAGTTAATTTGAAGCAGTCCCTCAGGAAAGCTCTTTTTGTTGTTGTTAATCCTCGCCCTGGTAGGATCACAGAAGAAGGAACGCACGAGGCCCAAGTGATTAAAGGATTATAAAGGTACTAGAGGCCTGGTGCATAAAATTTGAGCACTGGGGTGTGTGTCCCTGCACCTCTCCAACCTGGGACCCCTCGAGGGATGTCCGATTGCCTGTTTAAATGGGCAGTCGGACATCTCTCTCACAATCCAGGACTGCTGGCTCCAAACTGCTCACCTGTCTGACTTCCTGATTGCCCTAACTGCTTCTGCCTGCCAGCCTGCTCACTCCCTAACCAATCTCCTGCCAGCCTGATTGATGTCTAACTGCTCCCCTGCCAGCCTGTTTCCCCCTAACTGCCCTCCCCTGCAGGCCTGGTCTTTCCCACCTCCCCCACAACTGCTCTCCCCTACAGGCCTGGGTTTCCCCCAACTGCTCTTCCCTGCAGACCTGGTCATCCAAACTTCCCTTCTCTGCCATCCTGGTTATCCCTAACTGCCCTTCCCTACAGGCTTGATTACCCCCAACTGCCCTCCTTTGCAGGCCTGTTCCCTCCCAACTGCTCTCCCCTGCTGGCCTGATCTCTCTCAACTTCCCTTCCCTGCTGGCCTTCTTGTGATAGCCATCTTGTGTCCACATTGTGGCAGCCATCTTGTGTGTTGGAATGATGGTCAATTTTCATATTACTCTTTTATTAGATAGGATAGAGGCCTGGTGCATGGGTGGGGGCCAGCTGGTTTGACCTGAAGGGTGTGCTGGATCAGGGTGGGGGTTCCCTTGGGGTGTGGGGTGGCTTGGGCAAGAAGCCTGTAGTGGTTTGTGGCCTGGCCACGCTCCCCACTGACCCAAGCGGAGGCCTTGGTATCTGGGATTTATTTATATTCTATAATTGAAACTGTGTAGCCTTCAGTGGAGGCCTGGGCCAACCAGGGTGTGCAGGAAGCTTGGCTTATTCCATCACCTAGGAAACCCAAGCCTCCTGCTTGCTCCATGGCCGAAGCCATCTTGGTTGGGTTAATTTGTCTACCCATCCCTGATTGGCTGGTGGATATGGCTTGTGGGTATAGCAGAGATATGGTCAATTTGCATATCACTCTTTTATTAGATAGGATTAGGTCATCTGGCTACCACATGGGCTGGGTCCCCAAATGGCACTAGCACCAAAAGATGGGGAATCAGAAGTTTTTAAAGGTCTCTAGGTGGGCTTTTTCTGGGCAGAGAATTCTCTGTGCAGGTCCAGATCCTGAGAAAGTCCCACAAGGGAGAGATAATGGTCTTAGCAAGTGGCATGTGGTCTTAGAAAGTAGAATGTAGTCTAAGAGAAAGGGAATGCACATTGTGAAGTGGCCTGAAGCTCAGTTCCCAGGGGAAGGGGTATTGTTTCAATTATTTGATGAAATCTAACACACCGGAGGATATTTTCCATTGATTTTTAGAGAGAGTGGAAGGGAGGAGGAGAGATAGAAAGGGAGAAACATTGGTGTGAGGGAGACACATTGATTGGTTTCCTCCTGCACATACCTGGACCAGGGCTGGAGAGTAAATGCTCTTGA